TTATCTGAGTGAGAAGGAAAACTATTTGGAGCCATGGTCCCTCCAGATATTTTCAAATGTTCTCAAAGAATGTGACATTTTGGTTACTTTTATGATTTTATTGACTTTTTTTTCTCTTCATAACTTTAAAACAAAAACAGCACATGAAAACCAGTGTCTTATCCCAAAGTCTCAACTCAGCTGACTGACAGATGAACATCACCATCTTACTCCTCTGAATAACTAGACACAAGTAACAGCAAGTTCGAGTTTCTGCCCACCCCAAGACACAGCCCGTAATCAGCCACGGCCACAGCCACAGTCAACCCCAGGGGCTCCAGCTCTCTGCCTATCTTCTCTCAGCTGTTCTTCCCATCTGCTAAGATGGGCCTTCCTGACGGCTCTCTCAAGGTGGGTCAAGGCTGAACTAGAGGAAAGCACAGGCCAGGTCCACCATCCCCTCCCACTGGCCACCAGCTGGCCAGCCAGGAAATCATTTCTCTACATCTTTTGTCTCCCCACTTTTATCTCCCTCTCTCTTCTCCAAAAATTGTTGCTATCACTTGGATGTAACAATGGACTTAGTGTCCATTAAACTGCCTGAGAAGTGGTTTGAACCTGATGTATTTTCCTGAGCTAAAAAAGAAAAAGTACCTCTGCGGCCTTCTTGCTATTAAGATCAAGTAAAAAAAAGGGACAAGCACTACTGAGAAGGGTCACATTAGAAAGACCTTAGAATCCTCGCTCGACCCGACGGTTTCTCTAGCTGTAGCTCTTAAGGGTACAAGAGGGCAAATATTCTGGGGTCAAGCATGGGGAAACGCATTTATTTTCCCCTTTTAATCTTCCCTGCTGCCCCAGTTTTTGCCTTCTTCTTAGTAGATCCCTTGGGCTCTGGCTCCTTGCGCTTAGCTGAAGAGAGCGAGCCGGTCACCTTGAAGAAATCATCCAGGCGGCCCTGGGTGCTGCCTTGGCGGCTCTTGCTCAGCCTCTTGACCCCACTGCGGATTCGCTCCTCAGAGAACTGCTTTTCGCCACACATGAACTTGACCAGCTCTTCTTCATTTGGCTCACTCCACTTCAGCTCCACAGACTCTGGGTCCAGCACCTCAGGTTCCAAGAAGAGCTGGTGAGCCTCCCTGTGGAGCCAATTTTCTGGCACAGGGTACTTGGTGGGGTCGAGTCGCCGCACTATCTCCTCGATGCTCTTGTGCTTCTGGATGAGGTCCACAGCCCGCTTGGGCCCAATGCCCCGGATACTCTCACAGTAGTCACTGCCCAGCAGGATGCACAGATCCACAAACTGTTCCTGGTTCAGGCCCAGCTCCTGCAGAATCCGGCTCAGGTGGAATTCCTGGATGGGCAGCTTTTTGGATTCACTGGCAGTCAGGTGTCGCATTAGCACAGGGCTGCCAAAGGTGAGGCAGTCCATGTCCTCGGTAGCCGCAGCATAGACCTTGCCAGCCTTCACCAGGGCCGCACAGCTGGCCTCTGCCTCGCTGGGGGCATCAAGGTAAGGGATGCCCATGAGGCTCAGCAGATGCTTGCACTCATCGTTGTGCTGCTTAGTGACCTTCACCAGCCGCTTAGTGAATTTTTCCACCTCCTGCTCGGCCCCAGCAGCCTGAGCCTGCTGCAGCTGCTTCTCTGCCTCAGCCCGCCGTTCACTGCGTTTGGCCAGCTCGCCTGACTTGAGCTGCGGTGGCTTGCCGTCAAAGACATACACGGGCTTGATGCCGTTCTCCATCATGCGGATAGTGCGGTAAAACATGCCCATCAGGTGGCTGGTGGTCTCACCCTCCTCGTTCTGCAGCACATCCCCACCCTGGCGAACAGCAATCAGGAACTGATAAATGCTCATGGAGGCATCAATGGCCACCTTACGGCCAAAGTAGCTCTTGATGTCATTCTCCCGGATGGCACTGGGGGCCACGTCAGCAATTAGTTTGGCCAGGCCTTGAATTCCCATGGCAATGTAGAGGACGGATGACTAAAAAAGAAAGGCAAGTCAGAAATGGAGGAAAGGAGAAGGGTCGTAACTGGCGTTACCTCACCAACTTCGTGTCTTCGGCTAAATTCCACATAAAAAGGACACCAAGTCAGCACTACTGAAGATAAAAAGACGAGGAAGAGAAAGTCCCCGTTCTCAAAAAACTTAGTCTAGCAGGGGAGTCTACTCAATAGTAAAAGTACCAGAAATTGAACCAGGTGCTTAGAGAAATAGATATTGTTGATATGCTAAGGCAGCAGCATTATTTATTATACCAAAAAAAGCTACAACCTAGGTTCCATCAAGGACCACGGAAGGCCAGAGTGCTTGGCCCAGCTTGAGGAGTCTAGGGACCATAATGGCAAACCTGAAGACAGGCAAATACACCAGCTAAATGAATAGATCTGCTTTGTTTTGAGTCTCTGGAGAACCCTGACTGTTAAGGCAGCCTTGAGAAAGGACCGCAAATGTAACATCTGAATGGAGGTGATGTGGCTTCCTCACAAGCTTCTCTCATCTCTCTGTCATCACCTCACCACATAAGAGTTTCTACTTTTATTATGATGTTGCTAGAGTTTCAAGCTTTCACTTTGCGTTTTCCCTCCACAACTGAGTCTGAAATATTAACGCCATGGCTCTTCCCTGGGTCCTGATTTTGGGATCTGGCATTCTACAGTCACTGGGCCCAAAAAATGATTGCACTTCAGAGTTGATCGGCACCTGATCAAGTCTTTGTTGTTGTTTTTTTTATTTTTTGAGACGCAGTTTCACTCTTGTGGCCCAGGCTGGAATACAATGGCGTGATCTTGGCTCACTGCAACCTCCACAGTTCAAGGGATTCTCCTGCCTCAGCGTCCCAAGTAGCTGGGATTACAGGCATGTACCACCATGTCCAGCTAATTTTGCATTTTTAGTAGAGACAGAGCCTCTCCATGTTGGTCAGGCTGGTCTCAAACTCCCGACCACGGGTGATCTGCCAGCCTTGGCCTCAAAGTGCTGGGATTACAGGCGTGAGGCACCTCGCCCCGCCATCAAGTCTTTCTTATGGCAGCATTTCCCAAATCACCCTCAGGATTTTGCCACTTCCAACTAAAATCCGTACTTTTATTCATTTAGAATTTTTTTTAAAAACTAAAATAAACTAAAAAAGAAAACTCATCATAAGCAATACTATTTGTGTTCTATCAGTTATATTTTAATATGTGTTAAACATGTAACTATTAAAAAGGATTTCTAGTGGTTGCAATTTAAAGTCATCTTGCCATCCTGGCCAACATGGTGAAACCCCGTCTCTACTAAAAATACAAAAAAACAAAACAAAAAAAATTAGCTGGGTGTGGTGGCGTGCACCTATAATGCCAGCTACTCTGGAGGCTGAGGCAGGAGAATCACTTGAACCTGGGAAGCGGAGATTGCAGTGAGCCGCGATCGCACCACTGCACTCCAGCCTGGCGACAGAGCGAGACTGTCTCAAAGTAATAAGTAAATAAAGTCATTTTGTACCCACTGGTGGTATGTGCCCAACACTCTAAGATATATTCTACCAGGGCCAGGCATAGAGGCTCTGGCCAGTAATTCCAGCACTTTGGGAGGCCGGGGTGGGAGGATCACATGAGCCCAGGAGTTCCAGGCTTTCGTGAGCTATGATTGTGCCGCCAAACTCCAGACTGGGCAATAGAGCAAGACCCTGTCAGGAAAGAGAAGAAGAATAAGGAGGAGACAGAGAAGGGAAAGAAAGGAAAGGAAAAAGGAAAGGGAAAGGAAAAAAATGGGAAGAGAAGACTTCACCAAGCTTTTTCACTGTTCCCACTCTGCCTTCACAGGGTTCTTTCTAGAGTATTAATGACTGTTCAATTCTTCCTTCTAATTCAGTCCAAACACTTCAGCATGGCATCAAGATCTTTCATGTTCTGATTCCCAACCTAACCTTATATTCTGGAATCTCAACAGAAAGCTGGAATCAGGCCCGCCTTTTCCCACTTTTCCTCAGCTGTGCCCTCCTCTCGCCATCCTCTCGCGTCCTTCCAGGTCCATCCCATTTGATTACTATGAATAATTCCCCCTGTGAATTGCAGCGGCAAAAGCTCTGGCCTTGAATCTAGGCGCAGCATTTATCATCCGTGTGATACTTACCAAGCCACTGAGGTTTGTTTTCTCGTCTACAAAGAAAGATAACCATTACCTGTCTCTCAGGATTGCTGCCAGAGTCAACTGAGACAACAGACGGAAACCTCTAATGTCCCCTTTCCAGACCCTTTCAACCCTTCGGCTTTTACACAAGCCGGCCGCGCTGCTGGAGTGTGGACCGAGGACCAGGCCGTGTTAGCCTTTGATCACCTCGCGGCGTCAGGCAGGAAAGGGACCTCAACGATTCAAGTGTCAGAACTGTTTCTCGTCCAAGGTCTTAGGAAAAATACATGTCCCCGTAAGAAGGAACTTACTGCCGCCTTTCTATAATGGAAGAAAAGAGAGGCTAGTAGCTTGCGCGACTGGCCCAAGGCTCACAGCTGGAAAGCGGCGGGACCGCCTGATGGCGAATGCCGCTCACTCCATACCCCGGCTCCCCACGACTCCCAGCGCCAAGCGGACGCCATAGCTCCGGAAGGTGCTTCCCACGGGGTCTCACCTGGCCTTTGGGACACGAGGCCTTGGTGGCTAGAGCTTAGTAGGAGTTACCAAGTGCCAGCGGTGCTAAGCCCGCTCTCCCTGCTCAGCTCAGCCGTCTCCTGTTGCTCTGCCGCCTTCCAAAGCCCGCGCTCCCGTCACGTGACCTGCGCGCCACGCACAGCCACCTGGGCAGTGTAGTGCAGGCCGCATCCTCTCAGACGGCTGCTCTCACGGCAACCAGTCCTGCCAGGGAGAACGACTTTCTCAGAGACCCTGTCCTACCTTTCTCCACAGCTTGTCCCCACTCCGCCTGCACCAGGTTCCCCCAGGCCCCAGCTCCCGCTACACCCGAAATCACAGGACTACAAGTCCCACAATGTCACTGGCGCCGGAGGTACTTCCTTTTCCGGTTGCACTAGGCGCCTGCTCCTGCAGACGTGTTCTTCCGGTGGCGTGAGCGGCGGCTTAGCCGGAGCTGGGCAAAATGGTGAGAGGGTTGAGGGGAGTTCTTCAGCGGGCTGTGAGGACCCTTCGGGGTCTGACCTACACCGCGCTTCTCTCCTCAGACGCCGGTGGTTCAGAGGGCCAGACGCTCCTGGAACCTCCGGCTTGGGCTGACAGGTGGGGAAGGGGGAAGCCCTTGCCATGAACTCCTTAGGTTTCTGAGCTCGCGATTTCTAAGGATGAGGGGCGTGGGCGTTCCAGTTTATATATCTCTGTTATCTGTGGTGTGTTATCGTTGTCTGGAAAGTTCTTCTGCCGAACCTGAGCCCATCCTACAGTGCCCTGGGCAAATGTTGTTTCTTGGTGAAGCACTTCCAACTCTCAGGCACTTGGCCAGACTCTCCTAGGAGCGCCCACAGCCTCTGTACAGACCTCTGGCTACGTTTAGTGGACTTCTTTGTTTTCGGCCACGCCTCCCAGTGACCACCGTCTGACGCGAATCTAGCTCTGGGATGATGTCTATTCATCTTTGTATTCCCAGTGCCAAACAGAGGGCCTGTAATTGGAAGCTCAATAAATGGCAGCGATTGTCTTTATCATTTTGGGGGTAGGGGACCGTGATTGTTTACTGAATTGAATTCCAGTGTCTCAGAACAATGGGGTCAGTTTACTTCCCTAGAGTTGTTATGTTCTGGATTTTAGAAGCATTGGCTGACGGGTGACAATGAAGTTAATATTTGTACAGAACTTTACGTTTACATCCCTCTTTCATAGGCAATATCTCATCATCTTCCCTACATCCTTAGGAAAGAAGCAAATACCTATTGAGCAAAATAGATATTTGCCAGGCACTAGACTAGATGCTATGATTCATAATCTTTTTTCTACATTATTTCTGTGAAATAGATACTACAGTTACTTTACTCAGACTAAGATTACTCAGTAGAACCAGAACTTTAATGTCTTTGCTCATAGCTCACAAGATTCCATAATAGCATACGTAGTGAGGAAAATACTGAATTGGAAATTAATGCCGGCAGGGTAGCTCACTCCTGTAATCCCCGAACTTTGGGAGGCCGAGGCAGGAGGATCGTGAGGCCAAGAGATTGAGACCATCCTGGCCAACATGTGAAACCCCATCTCTACTAAAAATACAAAAATTAGCTGGGTATGGTGGGGCGTGCCCGTAATCCCAGCTACTCCGGAGGCTGAGGCAGGAGAATCACTTGAACCCAGGAGGCAGAGGTTGCAGTAAGCCAAGGTCGTGCCACTGTACTACACCTGGGTGACAGAAGCGAGACTCCATCTAAAAAAAGAAATTGAGGCTGACCATGCCTGTAATACCAGCACTTTGGGAGGCTGAGGCAGGCAGATCACCTGAGGTCAGGAGTTCAAGACCAGCCTGGCCAACATGGCGAAAACCCGTCTCTACAAAAAATACAAAAATTAGCCTGGTGTGATGCACACCTGCAATCCTGTAATCCCAACTACTCAAGAGGCTGAGGTATGGGAACCTCTTGAACCCGGGCGGCAGAGGTTGCAGTGAGCTGAGATCATGCCACTGCACTCCAGCCTGGGCGACAGAGCAAGACTCCGTCTCAAAAAAAAAGATACTGAGATCTGGGTACCACCAGTAAGTGACTTGGAGCAGGGGTTCTCAGCTTGGAGTCTATAGACATTGGTCCACAAAGCTCTGGAAATTGTAGGCACACTTTTTTTTGTATGTAGTTTTTCTCAAGCAGAGAGTTCATACCTTTCATCACATTTTCATAGTGGTGAGATCATTGGCCTCAGAAAATGCTAACGACCATTGATCTGCAGTTAAACACCTTCTGTGTCTCAGCCTCTGACTCTCAGCGGCCCTTCTTGTCTCATATTGAAAAGATAAACTGTCTCCTAAGTTTTGAGATAGAACTGTGACTGTCACTCTCATACTGAATGAGTTGCTGTTGGTTGGGAAGAATTTCCACATTTCCGGGCTGAAATCAGCTTTCACAGCAGCACCAGGCTCCTTGATAACCCCACTTTCTCCCCAGGCTGAAGTCTTGGGATTCTTTGCTAGCTCTGATCTCTTGCCCTCCTCTAGGAGCTCGAGGCCATGAGCAGATACACCAGCCCAGTGAACCCAGCTGTCTTCCCCCATCTGACCGTGGTGCTTTTGGCCATCGGCATGTTCTTCACTGCCTGGTTCTTCGTGTATCCTTTCACTGAGCAGCCAGAGGACCAGCGTTAGTGATGTGGGAATCTGAGGGAGAAGCCACCCTAAGTACATGTGCCCTGCCAGTTTTGTACACTGGATTGAGGCTGAGAGAAGGTAAGGAGGGGAGGAGGGCTGGTGATGCCCAGGGGCAGGTTATGGCCTTATGTGAACTCAGTTTGTTCTGTGGATTTCCAGGACAGTGAGCAGGGTGCCTGGCTGGAGCGGAGGTGGGGTATAGGGGAGCTGCAGTTAGAAAGGTGGTATAAGGAAGGGTGCACTCAGGTGTCGGGAGGTCAGAGGGCTAGTCCCAGCTCCTGTCCTCATGAGCTGTGTGACCTGGGGCAAGTGACCTAACTCCTCTGGGTCTCATTTTCTTCATGGCAGTCGAGCACTGGAGTCCAGGGTATCTCTTAGGCCCCTCTGCCTGGCTGCTCTGAGCCAGATAGGCTCCCCAGAAGGCACTGAGCCAATACCTTTCTCCTCAGAGTCCCCCTGCCTGGGCTGTCTGTACTCCACGGTCCATTTCTTTGCTTTGCCTTAACTGCTGTGCCCAGTTACGAGGTCACCTCTACCAAGTACACTCGTGATATCTATAAAGAGCTCCTCATCTCCTTGGTGGCCTCACTCTTCATGGGCTTTGGAGTCCTCTTCCTGCTGCTCTGGGTTGGCATCTATGTGTGAGTGCCCAAGGGTAAGAGCTGCGATGGGGTGGACACGTGAGCCTCCAGGGTGCAGCCCGGGGAAGCCTCTCCATAGTCAGGTCAGCAGAGTCCTTAAGGCTCTTACCAGCATGACCCCTTGGTTGATGGAGACAGACTCAGTGGAATGGGAAGGGACAGTGGACATTTGTTCCTCTTTCCCTACCCCTCATACGGATTTGAGCCAAGTGTGACTGAATGTGTCAGTTCTGAGCTCACATGGCCTAAGGCCTCCATCTACCTTTGGGATGTACCACGTAAGAGTGTGGGCACAGGCTTCCCATGGTTGTACATTTAAGTCAGACCCCAATGACTTGAAGAGGCTGCTGGGAAGTCGGCTGGCTGGAAGGGGGTCAAGATCTGGGGCTTAAAACTTAACTGCAGAAGATAATTCACCAAACAGGCTGCTGGGAATCAGCTCTGGTGGCTCATCCTCAAAGGCATGTGCTTGACAGCCTGACAGCCCTTGCCCCAGGAACACGGGTACAGGGAGAAAAGGTGGAAAGAAGGGCCATTGGTCTCATTTTGATACCCCTCTCCTCTTTTAGGTAACAACCAGGCGGCTTCACTGAATCCCTGCTTTTGTAAATTACTTTTTTTACTATTGCTGGAAATGTCCCACCTGTTGCTAATAATAAAGGCAGATGTATGGCAGTCTTGTCTGTTGCCCATTCCGCAGGGGCGGGGGCATGCTGGGACCTACATTCCTTACCCAGTCTCTTCCCTTTCCCATTTCTCATCTGCCTTTCACACAGTTCCTGCTGTTGACCTACTTAAGGGGGATGAGATTTGTGTGGCAGGGGTGTTTTGTCATTGAAATTTAAGGCTCACTTGTGGATAGGAAGGGCCTGGGCCTACCCTCTAGTATTGTTTCTAGGACAAACTTTAGGAATCCACATCAGTCCATTCTGCCCTGGGCCAGTCCCTGCCCTAAACATAGCCACCCTTCTGTGTGCTGGGGCATCCTCACCAGGCTCAGCTTGTCCCCTTAAGAAGGCTTTTCCCCTAGGCTACTTTTAACGTAGGTGGGCAGCAGCAGGTGCATGGGTGGGGAGGGTGTGGCCATGGGAGGGGCTGAGTCCACTCCTAGCCCCAGTATGAAACTAAGAGGATAAGGGGTATGAAGCATCCATTTGGCTATCTGGCTCAGGAGCTGAGATTTCGGTCTTCTCAGGAAGAACTCTGAATTCCAATTGGCCCTCACCCCATTGGTGACTCCTCTCCCACCAGACCAATCCCAAGAAGAGACAAGGAGGCAAGCTCAGATACAAAGCAGTATTTATACATTTATTTATATATGTATATTCACTTCAGAAGAAAAGAACAGTTCAGGGACAGGAAATAAGCAGGCCTGGGGCTGCTGCCCTCACTGCCCACCTCAGAGTCAGAGTTGGTACATGATAAATACGAGTCCAAGCTTAGGGAGAGGAACTGGGAGTTAACTGGGAGGTAGGTAGGGGGCGCTCTATGCACATGCAGGCTTCTATGGGGGCACAATATGGGCAGCATGATTTGCACTGGGAGGCCCTATGTACAGCTTGAAGCTAGGGGGAGATTAGCCCAGTGGCTACAGGAACAAACGCCAAAGGAGAGAGAAGGGAGGGCTGACCTGCTGGACCCAGGGCAGGGATGGGGCCAGGACACTCACCATTGCCAGCTGGGCAGCTGGCCCACTTACCTTTCCTGAAGCCCTTCTACCACAGGCTTAAGGCAACTTTGGTCCAAGGTTGACCCCCCTTAAGCAGCTTGGAGCCCCAGCCTGGCCCCAACGCCTGCACTGAGGAACCCCTCCCCAGGCATGGAAACAGAGCCAGCTGCTAATGGGTTTGGGGCTGTGCTGTGTCCACATGGGCTCCAGGGGGCAGTGGACAGTCACTTTCCAGTTAAGGACTGAGGGGCCACTGTCTAAGAACATGAACCCCCATTGAGGAAGCCCCAGAATCCTATTACATGGAGTGGGGCTCAGCAGTTTTAAGGCATAGGGAGGACTCCCTCAGTAGGAGGGAGAACAAAGTCATCCTAAGTAAGGCTCAGCCCCTGCATGGTATGGGAATCGAGAAATTCCTATGTCAGTGGAGCCTAATTGGGGAGGGGGCTGGGAGGAAGCTATCCCTGCTATTCCTGCATCCCCTTGCTGTTCCCTATCCTGAGGACAAGTGCTTTCAGATCAATGGCAAAAGGGGGCCTGCAGGTCACAGGCTTCAAGGATTCAGCTCCACTATAGAAAGGCCTCCCATTCAAAGCTGAGAATGAGCAGTGGGCCAGGGGCAAGGCCTGGTTCCCAAAGAGGTGGCAGCGTACCACAGGGCAAGGACAGCAATTCCCTTTCCCATTTCTGGACCCATGGCAGACATGGCTAAATGATTACCACACTCCTTCCATGAGCCTGGATGTGACCTCAGAATGGACCAGGTACCACTAAGAAACTTGAAGTTGGTACTTAAGATACAACTTCTTCCCTAACTCAGGGCCTTGGTGGTCAGGAGTGGGATGGGTGTCTGAGGCTCCCTGGGAGGGATCGGAGCCAGGGCCCTGTCTGTAAGTGTCACACCCTGCTCTAGCCCACTCTGAGCTTTCTAGCTCCATTCTTCCATTCCTTCCTGCCCTGGTTTAAGTGCATTTAGTAGTTACTTCATTAATAACAGCAAAAGCTATTTGCATCTGCCCACCAGCCAAGACCAGGCTGCTGCTTGAGGGATTCCTGCTCCTCTGCTCAGAGAGAAGGATGTGATCACTGACATCACTGTGACCTCCATACACTCCAGGAACACAGGCAGTGGGCAGCAACACCATCTGGGGGCTCAAAGGGAACGTCCCCTTCCAGATATTCTTGGTTCAAGGCTCCGGGGCTTACCTGGCCCACTGGCCCCCACTGGTTCAGGCCTGTGAAGGGCTGAGGGTGGCTTCACCAGGCACTGAGTTGACTTAAGGCACAAAGTCGGTTTCTCCAACCCATCTAGGGCTGGCCTCGGTTGCCCTGGGACTTCTTGGGAGCCAAGCTGTCCCAGGGAGAAGAAACTTCCTGGGCCACATTTAAAGCTTAGAAATCCAAGTCCAGCGTAACAGGTAAACCCCAGAAAGTCTACTACCTAGCCATCCCCCAGGGAATAGCTTTAAGGGGGAGAGCCATCTGCCTTCCGTTGACTCATGGGGGTCTACCCAAGTCTTTGAGGGCTGGATCCAAGCACCCTGCTGATCTCAAAGGTGGGCAGCTCCTCTTTCCAAGAGGGTTGGCTCCAGTCTCAAAAGGGGAGGCAAGGGAGAGTGGGCTCTGAACAAATGAGGGTCCCAGGCTTCCCCTTGCCTCCAGGGCACCTGAACCAGCCCTCCAGCCACCATATCTGGACAGAGGTGAACTGGTCCTGTCCTGGCCCCGAGAGGGTGGCAGGCAGGAAGGCCCAGGAAGTCTCTGGCTCTCAGGTTCCCTCTGTGCTGTGAGGCGCAACCAGCTGGAACAGCAACTCCAGTGTGAAGACTTCCAGTTTCACCAGTCTCGGGGTGGGCCAGTGAACAGCAGAGCTGGCCTGCAGCGGGCTCCAGTGTACACCATTGCATCCAGTGTTGTGGGGTGCCCAGGCACCCCTGGTCCCTGGCGCTGCCTCAGGAGGCAGCTCAGTCACACAGGCGGTAGAAGTGGAAGTAGTAGTCTGTGGCTGGCTGGACGAGAGCCTCCAAACTGCAGTTGGCCTGACCCTGAGTGGAAGGGCAGTGGGAAGCTGAGGTGGCTCTGTGAGTGTGGGGCAGACGGCACTCCCTGCTGACGTTCCTTGACACTGTGCCCCCATCCTACCACATACTGTGCAAACCCCCATTCCTCAAGCCCCACGCCGCAGACGGGTGCCCAGACCTCCGAGGTAGGTGGGATGCCCCTGCTCACCAGCAGCGCCACCCGGAAGTGGTAGGTGAATTCACGGAAGGACAGGATGGTTATTGGCCACTGGTGAGAAGTGCCCTGGAGAGAAGGGAGGAAGGAGTCAGGACTCACTGCTGCCCCTACCCCAACCGGCATCTCTCACCACAGCCATCGCAGTCCTGGGGTCTGTGGGGAGTTTTATGAAGGAAAAAAGCAGAGAACTCTGAAGAGATGGGAGGGAGCGTGTTCTGCTTCAGCAGAAGGCGCAATGGCAGCTACTCCGTGCAGACCATGCCTGGTACTGGCAGGTCCACAGCCACCTCTGCCTGGCCCTTGCCTCCTTCCCAGTCCTGTTGTGCTGGGTTCTCTCACCCGCTACGCTCTGCGCACATCAAAGTATTTCATGAGCCCCACCCTCAGTACAATCCAATGATGCCGTGCTGCTACTAGCCCCACCTTCTGGATGAGGAAACTGAGTCATTTGCCTAAACATCACACAGTGCAGCAGAGCTGGCATTCAAATCCAGGTGTGTCTGGCCCTCTCCCTCACAGGGTGGCATGCGGCCTGGCTGCAGGCAGCTTGCCCATCTCCTACCTGAGGCTTTGGCTCAGGTAGGAGATGGGCAAGTCTGTGTGATGTGGTTTCAGGCCCGAGTGCGTCTGATGCATATCTAGCTGGGTTCTCTCTCGGCCACTGTCTCCTCTGTGGGGCCACAGGGCTCTGGCCTCCCTCAGAGGAAGGCCGAGCTCTTCCGGGTGCTTTCTGCACGTCTTTTCTCCCTCACTATAGAGTACATTCTTGGAAGTCAAAACCTGTCTGCTCCACCTCTCCCCTGCAACTGGGCCCACCCAGCAGATGACTGGGACAGATGGGGCTCCAATCGCTATTTTCTGAGTAAACACATGAATGGGCGAGAAAAAATAATCACTGCTTCTCTGTTTGTCCTGAGAGTCTTCTCCCATGGCTTCTCAGGCCCAAGGAGAAAGCGGGGGTCCATCAGCCTCAGGGACAGTCCTAACTTCCGGTTACCGGGCCAGGGAGGAGTTAGCCATCCAGTTCTCCCAGAAGAGGTGGCCAGACATGGAGCCTGAGGGGCCTTCTAATGCACATCTAGCTGTGCCACTTGCTGAACGGAGCCTGAGGCTGGCTCCTTCCTGCTTCTGCAGGGACCTCCAGTGAGTCACAGCCCTCCCCGCCTGGGCCCCCAGACACCCGCCTGTCTCCATCATTGCAGTCATCCACGTCAGGCCCGTGATCTGCTTTCTTTCCCAGGTCTCCAGCATGGCAGGGCCAGGAGATGCTCAGAATAAACAAAGACGGCACATGTGCCCATCCCCAGAACACAGAGGTCCAGGCCCCAGAGTGTCCCTTGTGGAAACACCTTCACGCTGTAACTCCCAGCTCCGGCTCATTGACCATTTGGGGGCCCAGTTGTGCCAGGGGAGAAGAAGCTCAGGCCTGGCCAGCCCACAGCTTCCCAGTCCCACCTACCTGGGTGTCCTGGTGGGCGTGGAGACTCTGTGGAAGGCCCCCCTCCTCACACGGCTCCTCCTTTGACCTCAGGCTGCACAGCACCACGGACACTGGGGAGGAGGAACTGGAGACAGGCCCAGTTAGCAGAGAAGTGGGGTTCTGGAGCCCCTTAACCCCAGTGCCCTCCCAGCCAGCCTTCCACACACCTCTGAATCCCCACCTAGCCCGAAACACCGCATAATAACCATTCCCATCAACCATCCCACGTGGTCCTCAGCCCATGAGGCTGGGTCATTGAGCCAGTTAACCACAAAGCAGGCAATGAACTCAGCACTCATCCCACCGTGTGGGAAATGCCAGACTCTCAGGCTGTCCTCAGGCATGGCTGTTCTGAGGTTCTGCCGGAGACACCTGGCTCCCCTCCCACCTCCCACTTCCCCACACCGGCACTCACTTCATCTGCAGAGTCAGGCTGAGCTGCAGTGGGGTGCCGCTGCTGACAGGGATGTGGTAGGTGAAGTTCCCAGGCCTGAAGTGACAAAAGTGGCCACTTAGCCTGAGGGCACCCTGCCAACATAACTCCTCAGCCCCCAATCTGTACTGGAGCCCTGTAGAGGCCTGGAAAGGGGCTGCCCTGCCTTGTGGGGGAGGATCCTCCCTGAGGGGGCAAGTTCTGGACAATCTGTACCACCTGGGCTCATGTCACTTGAGGGGACCTCCCTGAGTGAGGGGAGGGAGCCTCACCCACCTGCAGGCATCCCCTGGAGCACAGTACTGGGAGGTGATGGGCATCGAATTCTCCAGCACTTGGATGGAGGTCAGGGAGGGCACTGGCTCTGCGAGGAGAGAAGCTGTTGGGGCAGGAGTAAGGCGACAAGGCAGGACACCAATGAGAAGCAGGCATGTCTTTCCTTGCCAGACTTGAAGCAGTCACTCACAGCTTAGTATGAATAAGTTCCCAGACCCCCACAACGTCCAGAATCACACTACACCCTTTCCTCAGCAGCCCTAGGACTACCCAGTCCCCATGAGCCTGACGTCTGCCTCCTCAAAAGAACTGGAACACCCAGAAGTAGGGGTGGGTCTTCGCATCCCTTGCCAGGTGTGCAGGAGCCTGCTCGAGGCCTCCGCTCCTGACTGCAGGCATCTCTCTCAGCTCTGCGTTCAGAGACATCAGTTACACTGGTCGCTTGAAATCGGTGATGGTGAGAACGCCACACAAATCAGGCTCTTCCCTGCCCCAAGGCCGATGGTTACAGAGCTACTAGCACACTGCTCCTCGCAGCCTCCCTGAATGAACCCACTGCAGACTGGCTGGCTGGGTAGAGGTGGGACTGAAGTGTGACAAGCCAGATGGGGGAGACAAGGCTTTCTTGGTCATCTAGTCCACCTACAGTCTTGCTGCTGCCTGACTGTCCACCCAGGAAGGGGAAGCTGGGGCCACTGAACATTTGCTGGGTCTGGTAAGTTTTCAGCTCTGTGGCATGACCCAGGGACCCAAGGACCCCAGCAGGATCCAGGACACCCTGCGTGGCCAAGGATAGGTATCAGATACAGATGAGATGGAAGGTGCCCTCCCAATGTCCCTTCTGGGCAAGTTCCAAAGGTCCTTTTAAGAGTCAGCTCGGCCAAGTGTGGTGGCTCACGCCTGTAACCTCAGCACTTTGGGAGGCCAAGGCCAGCAGATCACAAGGTCAGGAGTTCGAGACCAGCTGGCCAACGTGGTGAAAACCCATCTCTACTAAAATACAAAAATTAGGCCAGGCATGGTGGTGCACACCTGTAATCCTAGTGGCTCAGGAGGCTGAGGCAGGAGAATTGCTTGAACCCAGGAGATGGAGGTTGCAGTGAGCTGAGATCATGCCACTGCACTCCAGCCTGGGCAACAGTGAGACTCTCAAAAAAAAAAAAAAAAAAAAAATGACCAGCTCCAGAGAGGTCTTCCCTGATCCCCCCCACCTTCATCCAGATTAAGTACCCTTCCCAATCCCAAAGCTGCCTGCATGTCCCCCCAGAGCCTAATCACACTGCTGTGTTTTCATCTCTGTGAGGTCTTTGGGGACAGGGGTGTGTCTGTCTTCATCATCCTCAGTGCCCTGTACAGAGCCAGCCAGAGTGGCAGGCAGCCCAGTAAATTGGTGCCTGGCAGACATCTCCCCCTGGAGTTTCCATCTCTGCAAGCCACATTTTCCAGGTTTTTCTTGAAGCCACCAAACCCATCAAATGAAAGTCGGTGAAAGCAGAGCTGTCTGGTTGAAGCCAGGAAGCCTCCCAGCCTCCCCTTCAACCCCCAAGACAGTCCCCAGGGTACCTCAGAGAAACCTAGTTTGAAGACTTCAATAAAAGGTTCTGTAGCTTTCTGAAAACCAAAGATCTGAGGTGTGGGAAACTATAGGGGAAACCCAGTATAGCACCCTCCCGAGGCTGGCATGTGAAGGGGGCCAGGCTCGGATCGAATACCAGCCCTGCCTCAGAGGGGCTGCCTGATCCTGAGCAAGTCACTTCACCTTCGTCTCCATCCCCATTTCCTCAGCTGAACAATAGGAAAAATTCCTTTCTTGCAGGAGTGCTGTGAGGACTAAATGAGGTCATCTATGTAAGGCTGCGGGTCTGATTCCTGATCCTTACTCTGCTCAGCAAATGCCTATTGACAGACAAGCCTGAACCCAGACAGTCATATGACTGGGCTGAGCCGGGCTGTGGCCAGTGAGCCTTGCCGGGCTGGGCTGGGTAGTGTCAGGAGTGTGGCAAGTACCTGACTGGCCCTGGGCCCAGGTGGGCTGAGCAGGGCCCACGCTGGACCGGGGAGCCCCTCGGCGGGCCCGGCCATGGAAACCAAGGCTGGGGCTGTTCTTGGCTTTGCCCTGCCCCACAGGGAAGGGGACTGCAGGGCTGGCCAGAGGCTCCATCTTGTGATGCTTGGAGTGGCCAATGCCATTGACTGAAAGGCCCCAGGACTTGGCTCTGATGTTGGTGGCTGGCAGCAGGGCCCTCTGGCTGGGGCCTGTGGAAAGAACCAGGGACAGGCTGAGAAGAGGGGAGCTGGTTTCTTCCCATCCAGCTTTTCTCTGCGGCCTCACAAGACTGAGTGAACCCCATGTGTCCCTTGGTCCCCTCAGGGGCCTTCCCAGCCCTGAGAAAGCCGTACCTGAGCGGTTGGTGCTGGGGCTGGGGCTGGGGCTGGGGCTGGGAACATGGCCAGGGGTAAAGCTGGGGCCAAGACTGGGACCAGTGGTGGGGCTGGCAGTGGGTGAGGCGCAGCAGACGACAGGGCAGGGGTGGCTGGAACACAGATCCAGGGTGCGGAGGGCAGAACCTGGTGCTGAGCTGGTCATGCTGGTGGTCACTGAGGAGACCAGAGGCTGTATGAGCCAGAGGAGCCCCCAAGACAGAACATAGCCACCTCCCCGTCCCACCCCAGACCCGCCCAGACACGCACCCAGCAGGAAAGAAGGCTGTATGCCTGGCAGCCCAGTGGTCACGGAGGACTGTCGGAGCTGCGTAGTCCCAAAGCTCTGGCTGGACCTGCTGGGGAAGGGTGGGCTGAGCTCAGAGGGGCTGGGAGCGCCTGAGGGGAGAGGGCCTGGCAGTCCTGGAGAGGCAGGAGGGCAGGAAGAGGCAGAGAGGGAGGGGAGGGAGGCAGGAAGAGGGGCAGCAGGAGCCAGAGGAGGGGGCGCTGGTCAGCACGTACCATGGGCACATGGCCTCACTCCCCCCAGGGGGCTGGGGCCGGAGCAGGGCCAGGAGACAGGAAGTAGACACGGCCAAAGAGCTAAGGGGCAGCAGAGAGGCAGAGGGCGAGACAGACAAAGGGGAAGAGAGAAGAGAAGACACAGTCAGAGGTGGCCCCGGGAGCTGGGGTGACAGTGGGCTCACAGAGCCCTGGCCCTCCTTCCCCCTACCCCATGTTCTAAGCCCAGCCCCTCAGACAGCCCTGACTCGCAGGCCCAGTGACCTGGAGGAGCACTAACCAGGCCAGACAGAACCATCAGCGTCAGCAGGGACTGGGAAAGGCTGCCCACCCTCCAAGGGGACCCTTCCTGGATCCCCCGACCCCCAACAGGCTGAGAGGCTAAGGATGAACTCCTTTAGAGGAGACAGCATCATAGCTCTCTGACCTTGGACTGCCTACCGAAGCCCCACCTGGCCCGGCGGCTTGGCTTGGCCTCCAGGAACCTACCCATCAGTGTCTACCAGGTCCTCCTCCGTGCGCAGGCTCAGCACATACAGTGTGGACATGGACACCACGCTGGAGCCACAGAAAAGGGTGACCATTAGAGCTGGAGCCACCACCCAGCGCCCTCTCTCCAGGACAGGGCTGTGGTCCTTGGCTCCTGGGGCTGGGCCCCCAGGTGGTGCCTGCAAATGGGTCACCCTGAGGGGAAGAGGCAGAAAGGCCCACCTCACCGAGACCTCAGCCGCCTGATCTCCCAAGCTACGTCCTCCTCTTCCCCCAGGCCTGAGCCCATGGGCAGCTGACTCCACGAGGAAGCTCCACTCCCCCAGTCAACTACCCTGAGAGCCCAGAGGACAAGTCACCTGAAGGCCATGACCACCACCAGGGCAATGATGGTTCCCTGCAGGAAGCGCTGGCTGATGCAGGCCTGGTCTGGAACCACGGACGGTGACTGAGGACCAAGAGCAAAAGTGCAAATGCAAAGTGGGCCAGGCTGAGGCTGCCTGCTGTGGGCTCTGCGGGAGGCTGGGGGTGCTAAGGGGGTACCCCATTCCCCCAGGGGGCAGAGAGAGAAGAAAGAGAAACTGGGGGCTGGGAAGGCTACCGAGTCACAAGGAGAGGGAAGTGCCGGAGGCAGTGAGGCTGGAGAAGTGCAAGCTGGAAAGGGAGGCCACAAGGGATGGGGAACCCCCCATTCAACTGGCCTGTCATCCCTGCTCACCCTTACCTTGCTGGCCACCTTGGGGGGCCTCTTCTTGTGGGGGACGCTGCCCGCCCGGCTGAACTGGCTCCCTGCATGGCTGCAGCAAGAGGGCCAGGGTCAGGGGTGCCCCTGGGAAGAGGGGTCTGACTCTCCCCCACCCCACACCCCCACCTGAAGGCTCCCGAGCTGCCGGTGGACTTGAGGCTGTCGAGCCGCCGCAGCTTGGCCAGCTTGTGGCTCCAGCGCTCCAGCTCATCGATGCGTGTCTCCAGGTTGTCGGTCAGCTTGCACAGCTCCTTCACAGCGCCCACGTTCTCCATGAAGATGCGCTCCTGCCATGGGCCGTGGGCCAGTGCAGATGGCTCTGTCAGCCCCAGGAGCCCCAGGCTGCCAGACATCAGGGGGCAGGAGGGGCAGCCACTATCCTTGGCTACCTGGAGGCCCTCAGAGCCTCCCTACCTGGGCAGGCTCCTCAGTCCAGCCTCTCATCTCCCACAGCTTCTGTGCCCATCTCCAAGCAACGCGCCCAGCACTGCAGCTTCGCCTGGCCTGAATAGCCCTCCCCACTCCCTGCCAGAGCTCCTGATCCACCCCTCTGATGACGGCGGTGACTCAGATGTCAGCACTTCACTATTCAGCTGGGGTGGAGAGCTGTCTCAGGCCTCCTTGGAGCCCAGACTCAGGCCAGGTAAGTGACAAACGTCATCCTCACAATAAACCACGTATTTAATCCTGGAGATAGCCACATGAGGATGTCTTTGAGGTTCTGTTACTGCCCTCACATTACTGGGGGTGGAGCAGGGCCCAAATTCCTACCCACACATCCCCTTGAACACTCACCCCTTCCCTGTGGGGTGCAGAGGGAGCTCTGGAGGCAGCATGAGAGTCGCTGCTCCTGCTTCTGCTCTGCAGTGCCCCCCAGTATCTATGGAGGAGATGAGTGCCCCCCAGCTGGCTCCCCACTTGCCCCTGGGCTCCCTCCCATTCCCCCACCCACAGACCTTGTTCACCACCAGGAAGTTCTCTATGGTTTTCCCATTGGCAAAGACCATGTCTCCGGTGTCTTTCACAGCCTCAGGCAAGATCTCCTTCACCTCCTGAGCGATGACACCTGGGAGTGAGGGGCGAGCCAAAGATGGGTGGGGGGAGAGGGGGAGGGGACTGCTCACAGCTCTCTAATGTACTGTGGGAGCAGGATTGGAGAGGGTGAAGTTCTAGAACCCAGAGATTTGGATTCCAAGGAGCCCTGGAGCGGGTGATCCCATGAACAAGTGTTCACAGAGTTGCAATTCCAGGGCTCAAGGTGCCAAGGCTGGGGTGGGGTGGGTTCCCCGGGGTAAGGATCCCAGGGGAGTGGGTAGTACTCCAACAGGTTAAAGGTAGGATTGATTTAGCAAGAAGGGCGAGGGTCCTGGGGCCGCGATTTTCGGATTTCCACTGACAACGGGGCGAGGTTCCGGGGACCTGGAGAGGCGCGATTTTCCAGGGTCTGAGGGGCGGGACTTCTAGAAGGCATGATTCCCAGGGGCGCAGTTCCCAGGGGTGCAGTTCCGGGAGTCAAGAGGAGGGATTTCTAGGGGTAGGATTTCCAGGTGACAGGGAGCGAGGTCACTGAGGTCCGAGGTTTCTGGGTTCCCCGACCCCAGTCCGCGCCAGCCCGGTCCCTACCTGTCTCTGGCGCGGCGGCCTCGATGCCCGCGCTGGCGGCGAACTCGGGCTTGTATCTGTAGTGCACCAGCCGCATGCGCGAGATCCTCTTCAATTGCTCAGTGGTGTCCACCTGCGGGGAGCCAGGCCTGGGAATGAACCCCTCCCCACCTGCGGCTATCCCGGAGCAGGGCCCGGATCCCAGGAGGGAGGCCACCCAGAGGCTGCAGTGTGGAGAAGAGACCCCGCTACTAGAGTCGTTAGATCCGGATTCGAGGTCAGCCTCCCTCCCTTTCTTCCTCTGCAGCCCCGCCTTTCCGCGTGGCCAAGCCCCTCCCCAGGAGACCCGCCCCCGCGGCCCGCCCCAGCCTCTGGCCCCGCCCGGCCCCCGCAGCCCCTTCTCACCTCCTGCACGTGCTCCTTGGCGCGCAGGTCCGAGGGGTGCATGAGCGAGCCCATGACCTTGACATTCCCGTGCACAACCAGCGCCTCGTCCGGCCGGTCTGTATTGATGCCCACGCGGCCGTGGTGGAAGACGGTGTCGGGCACCTGTGCCCGCTGCCACAGCACGTCGCTGTCGCTCTCGAACTGGCCTGGGTTGGAGGCCTACCGAGAGTTGGAGCTGAATCAGCCCTGGGGGACAGGGGACCTGCAGGGCCCTAGGAGCAGGGGAAACGCCACAGCAGCCCCTCCCCTTCCAGCCAGGGCTTCTCACCGCACCAAGCCCAACTTAAAACTGTCCCTCCCATTGTGAAAACTTTTTGTCACTTGTGGGATCCCAGAAGCTACCAGGTCTTAGTCCACCTCCCTGCTTTACTGTGGAGACCCTGCAGCCCAGAGAGGGTGGGAGCCTTGCCCAAGGCCACGCAGCCAGTGCCTAGCAGGATGAGCGCCCTCTCTCCTGACTCTCTGCGTGCTACTTCTCCCAGCCCTGGCGAGGGCTGTCTACACCCTGGGGGGACCCAGTGGCCCTCACCCGCACGATGATTCGCTCTGAGATCTGGGCGGCCAGTGTGTAGTTCTGGTTCTGTGCGTGGGCCTGGAGGGCCACCACCAGCATGAAGTACCTGGGACACACAGGGGTCTCAGAAGCACTAGGGGCCTGCCCTCTCCCCAGGGCCACCCTTTCCCCGGCCAGATGCACGTTCATCTCACCCCATGCTACAGAGGAGGAACCCAAGCCTCCACGAGGGGGCAGAAATACCCCCGGCCCACAGCAGGAAGCCAGGGCTGTTTCTCAACCCAGAAGCCAGGCTTCTGCTCTTCCCATCTTTAAGTCAGTGAAGGACTCTGAATCTCAGGCCCCTCATCTGTGAAATGGCTCAGCCTGTAGGACTCTGTGCCTGGCAGGCCACACAGGGCGGTGTCTTCCTGCCTCAGAGACGGAGGGGCTTGGCGCAGGGCCCCCACCTGCTCACCTCTGGTCGGGGTTGGGCTTGCCCTTCTTCCGCATGTTGTTGGCGGTGGTCTCGCTGAAGTGCAGCCGTCCCACAGTCACCTTCGTGACCTGCTCTGGGGGCAGATTGACCCTGCAGAGGACAGGCAGGGTGCTTAGGGGGCAGGGAGGGAGGCTGCTAACAGCCATGCCACTGAGGGGCACCCAGGCCAGCAACATAGGGGAGGCAGACGCCCTGGGTACCTCCCTGGCCCCTCCATTCCCAAGCCACCTCTAGGAAGGGCCCTTCAAGGTCCAGCCCCAACAGGGTCTAGACACTCACGTGACTGGGTTGAACGGCCGCTTGCTCCGGTCTGACTGGGACTGCTCGATGTTAATGGACTGGTTCAGGGCCTCCAGCTGGGGGGAATGGAGCCAGTGGCACCTTGGTATGGGACGCCCCAGCTGGTCCTGCCCACCTGCCCCTCTCAGCCAGGCCTGGCCCAGCTAGAGTTCACCAGGAAACGGGGTAGCACCCAGCCCTCAGCCACGTTTCCCCCAAGCTCAGTCGGATGCCTTCAGCACAGTCACACCCCCCACCCTACTTTACACCCACACTGTCCTCACCACTCACATCACACCACTCCCCTGACTTCTGCACAGCTACGAGTGCGGTCACTCCCCAAACATCCACGCCCCCATTCCACACCCACACATTCCCCCACCTCTGCATGTGTGCACACACGCACACACACACACACACACACACACACACACACACAGCCCCACCCTCCCTCACGTCCATACCCCACACCTCACGGCAGCCTCCCAGCCCAACCACTTGCACCCAGACCCACTCACTCCTCAGACCCTCTCCATACCCATGTCCCCTCTACCACTCCATGTGCACTGGCAGAGCCATTCCAAGGTGTCATGCTGGCTCACTTATGACACCAAAGCCAACAGACCCAGCCACGCCCCCAGAGAGCTGGTAGACTCAAAATCAGCCACTCCTGGGGTTGGGCTGTGGTGCCTCCCAGTGGGCCTCAGTGGAGGGGCTGCTAGGGAGGGGCGAGTGTCGAATCTGCCTGGAGAGGAGGGATGGGTTTTGGGAAGGGCATCCAAGGCAAAGGGAGCCGCAAGGGGACAGCAGGGGCTGCACTGGGCAGGAGAGGTAGGGTACCACAAGTGGCAGAGCTGAAGCAGAGGGCAGCGGCCCCCAAGGCCGCCGTGGCACAGCTAGGAAGCTGGCTCTTTGCTGGGAGGATATTGGGGGCCTTGGAAGGATATCCTTGGAAGGATAGGGAGTGCCATGGGCCCCTTGAGTCTCAAGTGGAGCAGGAGTTGGGGGTCCCAGCTGCTTTGGACATTCCAGCAAGGAAGGGAGGAGACCCAGACCAGGGAATGGACAGGAAGGAGGAGAGGAGGGGACCAGGTAGACGGATCTTCAAGAGCAGGGCCAGATGCATGATGATGGAAGGAAAGAGGGCCTTGACCCAGATGTATGACTGGGGTAACCAAGGCCCTGCACCCCATTCCCTGACAGGAGAGCCCAGCGCGGGAGGCAAGGGTGCAGGGAGTTTAGTTTAGGATTTGGAGCTGAGGCACCTCGTAGACGGGTCAGGAGATTGGTCTTTTTTTTTTTTTTTTTTTTTTTGAGATGGGGTCTCCCTCCGTCACCCAGGCTGGAGTGCAATGATGCAATTTCAGCTCACTGCAACCTCCGCCTCCCGGGTTCAAGCGATTCTTCTGCCTCAGCCTCTCGAGTACCTGGTATTACAGGCATGTGTTATCACGCCCGGCTAATTTTTGTATTTTTAGTAGAGATGCAGTTTCACCATGTTGGCCAGGCCGGTTTCGAACTCCTGACCTCAGGTGATCTGCCTGCCTGGGCCTCCCAAAGTGCCTAGGATTACAAGTGTGAGCCACTGTGCCTGGCCAAGAGATGGGTCTTGACTGGGATTTCAGACTTGGGAATCACAGGCTGGAGCAGGAAAATGGGCAAGAGGGAGGCAGGCTGAGGAGCCCAACGTTTAAGGGTCAGGCACAGGGAGAAAGGTGGGCGGGGTGGGGGTGGTGGCAGAGCCAGATCTAGTTTACACACAGGCACACATGCTTGCCGTTTTTTTTTTTTTTTTTTTTTTTTTTTTTTTTTTTTTGAGAGGGAGTCTTGATCTGTTGCCAGGCTGGAGTGCAGTGGCATGATCTTGGGCCCCTACAACCTCTGCCTCCCGAGTGCAAGCAATTTTCCTGCCTCAGCCTCCCAAGTAGCTGGGATTACAGGTGCGTGCCACCACGCCTGGCTAATTTTTGTATTTTTAGTAGAGATGGGGTTTTGCCATGTTGGCCAGGCTGGTCTCAAACTCCTGACCTCAAGTGATCTGCCCACCTCGACCTCCCAAAGTGCTGGGATTACAGGCATAAGCCACAGCACCTGGCCATTGCTCGCTTTTTCTGGGGTTGTTCAGTGCCCTCCAGGGGCACTCCTACTCCCCTTCCTTGCCAAGACCCAAGCTTGCCTTCACTCCGTGTAGCTTCAGGTAGAAGCAGTCGAGGGGCTTGAGGCCCTCGGGCGTCTTGACGTACTTGGGCTCGCCCAGCATGCCAATGTACACTGTCACCTGGAAGTGGTTCTTCTTCTGGCACACGAAGGCGTCGTCACCCACGGAGAAGTTGAAGCCCTTGTCGGCGTCCACGCGGTAGGTGAGCATGGGCCTGAGGGGGTGAGGGCACTCCCCTGAGGCCCCAGAGCCGGGCCGGGAACACCAGTTCCTCCCATCTTCAGGGTTCCAAAGCCATTACCCACCCCACACCCTGCATCCTCAAACCACCAATGCAGCTGCCACCACTCCTGAGAAGTGGAAAATGAGCGCCGGGAGGGTTCCAGCACAGGGCTGCAACCCCCCTCAGCATTCTCTCCTCTACCTCGAGCCTCGGGCCACCACCCTGTCCTGGTGATGGGGGAAGCAGGGCAAGACCCTGAGGCTCACCAGTCAGGAGGGAACTCCTGAGTTGGGGGGGGAGGGGGGAGGGTGCTTGACTCCCCTCCCCACACTTGGCTCCTTCCCAGAAGGCTGCCTGAAGCCCCCTTGCTCACCCAAGACGGGGGCGAGAGGGGCTGCATCTGCAGAGCCTCACAGAGCCTGACAGCTGGTTGCCCTGGAAACGGTGGAACCAGGCGCCCGCTCTGCTGCAGGCCCCGCCCCTGCCCACCAGCTTGCTCAAACCCCCTCATTCCCACTCCCTCTGTCCCGGGGAGGAAAGGGGGCACTCCTGGACGCTTCCTCAACCTCAGCCTCAGTGTGCCCATCTACTTGCTGGATTTAGTGTCCCATGTTTGGCCCCTTTGGGACACCTTTAGTTGATAGTAAAGAGAGCAACTGTTGGCCTGTGGCTTAGTGCACCCTCACTCAGATCCCCAGGCACAAGAGTGGTCACAGGAGTACCTGGTGCCAGCCTGGAGGAGGCTGGGCAGGGAGAACGCTTCCAAACTTGTGGGAAGAGGCCCCTGGGCCTGGCCAGTATTGCCAAAGGCCTGGGCTGTCCACTCTTCCCTCCTGGAGCCCCACCCACCTGCCTGAGCTAGCAGAGCACTCAGGAAGCCTTTGGGCTGCTTCAGGGCTGCAGCTGCCAAGCTTCCTGGCCTTGGGACCTGGGGTGGCAAGGGTGGCCCAAAGAGTATGGGGGTAAGAGTAGGGGGCTTCATCCCCATGCCAGAGAGGCTGGACCACCATACGACTGCACCCCCACCTGGCAGGACCTCATGGGACCCTTCAGCCTCCACAGCAGCCAAAAGCTCCCCAGCCCTGGGGCTGCTAGCTAAGAATTCCCTCAAGGCCTAGAGTACCCAACTCCAGGCAGCTGGTCTCAGCCATCGGCCCAGGCCTGGCAATGCCCAGTTACCCTGTCACCTGCTCACTGGCCTTCTAGGGGAGCCAGGGGAATGGTCCCCACGGGCTCCCAGCCTGGGACCTGGGAAGATGGAGCCATCTGGGTGTGGAGGGGGCACTAGGAATGCTCAGGCAACCTCTGACCGGATCCTCCCCAGCCCCTCCTCCCTCTCTCCAGGGAGGGGGCTGCCGGGAGAGCCCAGCTTGAGCTCAGCTTCCGGCTACCTTCCTGGAATGCAGTGGGAGGAGGCAGGGAAGGAGGAGCCAGGAAAAAACACCCAACTGCCCACTTCTCCCTGACTTGGTTCCCAGCTGTCCCTCCCTGGCAGTCATCACCTTCTCAGGGAGCCCTGAGTGCCAGTCCTGGCTCTTCCCTGAGCCTGTTTGCTCTTCTGGGAAATGGGTGCTCCCAGACCCTGCTCTGGGACCTTGACGGAGTCCTGGGCTGGGGCGTCCAAAGATGGGGTGGCCTGGAGGAGTGGGGAATGGCACAGGGGACTCACAGCTCCTTGTAGTTGGCGTCGTACAGGGTTGCCCACTTGTTCTGCTGATGGGGCTGCCATTTGATGGACTGGTAGTTGGGGTCCAGGTAGGAGCCACTGAGGCTGTCATTGTCCTGAAGGAGGCCTGGAGGGAGGGAACGTCCATGTGGGCCCTGCGCCCCGGGCCCTATACCCCATCTTGAAGGGTTGGCCAGCCACGTACCTGGGGAGGGGGCACCTGGTGGGTGCCAAGGCGGTGTCTGGACGCGGGCAATGCTGAGAGGCAAGGAACCAGGGCCTGGGGAGAGCGGACCCTGGGGAGGCCAGGGTGGGGATGGGGCTCGAGTGGGATGAAGAGGCAGGGCTGTCACCGTCCCGGGTTCCTGTTTGATCATTCCATTCAGCATCTGGGCATTGAGGGTGCTGGGGGGGGATTCGGAGTGCTTCCTTTTCTTGGAGGGGTGTGTGGGGAGCCTGGGGAAACAGAAGAGTGTCCCATGGGGGCTGGCTCTCCCTGAGCCCCTCCCACTGGGTAGTATCCACCTGTCCCCCCTCTTTAACCTGTTTGGGCCAGGATATGCCCCGCCCAGAGGACACCTCCTGCAGGAAGCCCTCAGGCTTTACCTCCTCCTACTCCCCATCTATACATGTCGTCATTTTCTGCCTCCATCACTCTTCCCTTCCCCCAGACTGTGGACAGGAGCCACACCTGACTGGCGTCTCCATCACGCCCAGCAAGAAGGCTGGCTCACGGAATCACAGCAGTCGCTCGAGGAATGAATGAGTTTGTGCCTGCCTGCATGTCACACTCAAGGTCATCCTTTATAGCAGGGGTGCTATGGAGAGCAGGCCCCGTGATCAGAACCAAGCCACAGAGTGCCTGGGCCACAAAAGCCAGGGAAGGCAGCTTCCTGGGGTGGGGAGTTTCGGGGGGACTCCGCAGCACCCCTTTCCCTTCTGGTTTACAAAATGTTTTGACCGCAGTACCTTCCTTTGACCTAAGCCTGTCATGGACTCTCCACGTGATAAAGCAGATGAAAAGACAGCCGGTAGTCAGAGTTGGGGGCTTGGGTCTAGGAAGAAGACTCCTCAGAAACCTGAGGGTTCCATGAGACATCTGGAAAGCCACTGGGGTCTGGGTAACAGCACAGCCCCGGCTGGGCCCTGTCTTGGCTTTGACCCTGGCTCATGGTCTGGGCGGGACATTTCCCCCATCGGGACCTCAGTTTACCTACCTGTGCCCACTAGATAAGGTAGTTGTGAGCAATTAGCCACGGCTGTAAACCCCCCAAGGCATTGCTGGGCAAACGTGTGTAAATCTGTTGACCCCGATCTGCCCTGCAGAGCCTTCTGCTCTTCCTGGGTACATCCCCACCCCTACCTCCCTCTCTGGCCTGTCTGCCGCCCACCCTGGTCCCCGCACCCCACCTTCCCACCCCAGGGAGCTGGCCGCCCACGTCTTACTCAGCTCCGTGCTGCTGCAGGAGCTGGTGCAGCATCTGGGACTGCTGGGTGTGGTGGAGCTCAGTGGGCACCAGCCCCTGCCCCATGGCAGCGTAGGGAGGGATCGGGGGCTCAGCCTTCATGTACAGGTCCCGCTGCAGGACAGGGTAGTGCGGTGGGGGTGGTGGAGGCGGTGGGGGGCCTGGCAAGTGGGCTGGAGGTGGGGGCGGATGCTCCAGGCGGGAGGGCACTCCCACATGGCACAGCGTCTCAGGGGTTATCGTACGCAGGAGATGGGGTTCTGCAGGAGAGATGGGGAAGCAGGCATCTGTGACCACCGTCCCTCAGGCTCCTGGGCACCATCCTCCCCAACACAGTCTCCTGCTTCCACCCCATCCTGGGCCAAGTCTAGGGGCTGCCCCCAATCTACCCCCAGTGGGAGGGTGGTTGATCAGCCACCCACTAGAGGCCTGGGCAGGGGCACAACCCTGCCCGAGGGAGGACAGCCCTTCACCCCATTCTAGCCACCTCCTGCCCCTAGGCTGAGCCAGGGAATCCAAGCCAAATCTCATGCCCCCCCCCAACATTGTTCCCCTCTCCTCTGAGGCCTACTCCTCCTCTGGGCCTCAGGAAGGAGTCTCCGGAGACCCCCGGGCCAGGCCTGCTCGGTGCTCCTCCCTCCAGCAGGCAGCCCCTCTACTGGGTTTCCAGGGGCCAGCCCCCCAGTCTGAGCAGGGAGGCCCCAGCTCCCTTTGTTCCCCAGGAGGCATTCCAGGGATGTTTTTGGTAAGATAAACAGAACTCTTGACCCCACTCTGGGCTGCGGGGAGCCTGCTGCCCGCGGTGGTTCTGCTCTTGGCCACCTGGGGGCCGGGGCACCCCTGAGCACCCTCTAAGCTGAGGTGGGCCCGGCCTGGGAAGCCTGTGCTCAGGCTGCACCCACGGCCTTCCCCAGCCACCCACTTACCGCCGAAGGGCGCGTCCATGATGGCGCAGGCGGGCAGGCGGGTGGCATCACGGCGGGGATACTTGCTCAGAGGCAGGGCCAGGCTCCCCACCCACCCGTGGGGAAACAATAGCCAAGCGCCAGGGAGTATTTGACCAGCGATAATCTCAGCCCGTTGGGCAGCCGCTGGCCCCCTCCCTCCTCCCCTACTTCCCCGATAAGGCCGCCCCAACCACTTGCCCAAACCCCAGAGGGGGAGGGTGGTGCTCGCTGGACTCACCATTCACCTGCTGAGGGGAGTAGGCCTCGGAGCCCGAGTCTGGGGGAGAGTCCGGCAGTGTGCTGTGAGAGCCAGGGGGAGGGGCTGGTGGGTGAGCAGCTGAGCCCCTGCCTTTCAGCTGGGCAGCTCCTCCAAGTGGCAGGGTCCCAGAGCCCCCCCAGAAGCTGGGGACACTGAGGTTTCCTCACATCCACCCTTGGGGGCATTTCTCTGCACCACCCATGTTGGGGCACCTGACAGGGCCTGGGGCTGAGGGGGCCACCCAGGATGCCCTCAGACCAACTGGGCACTTGGGGGACAGTTACTAGTGTCCCTGATGATGGCACAGGGACTCAAAGTCTCCGGCCCCAGTCCAAGGGCCAGGCCTTCTTCTCCCTTCCTGCACTCACTGAAGCCCCACAGAGTCCTGGAAATGCAGGGCCCTAGGGGGCTGGGCCTGGGGGCGTTCAGCGGGTCACAGAGGCAGGTGTGGACTGGGAAGGGAGCCAGCACCACCGGGCCTGGGTTTATTTTTTTCTTGCAGGTTTCACTTTATCAGTGTTCAGAAAAAGAACAAACTCAACCCAAGAAGTCAACACGTCCTGCATGAACCCTGTGCTCGCCCAGCAAGTGGGAGGCTGAGGCCACGTGGGGTCCAGCTCTAGCCATTCCTGGTCCCCACATCTGGAGCAACTCCCTATTCCCATGCCCAGGGAAGTGCCAGAGGCCCTGTCATGGATGTAGCCCCAGGGCTGGCTTCAAAGTCCCCTGCACCCCTCTACCAGCCACCCACCCACCTTCCGGGCCTTGGGTAAAGACCTATATGGTTCAAGAACTCGGACCCTGCAGGTTTTGTGTGAATAATACGAAAGCGTGGATGGGGACTCAAACCTACTGCTCGCCACAGCCTCAGGCCCCTTGGTCTGCCCACTGCCTTCCTGCCCTTCCCTGACAATGGCCTTGGCTTCTGTAGTGTGTCAGGGTCTTTCACACCCTCCAGTCCCTGCAGTCTGATGCCCCAGGTCCTCAGGACCTTGTGTTCTTTCCTCTTAAATTTCTGTGGCATCTGATTAGTCCTCTTTTGGGGGATGGATTGGTGAATACCTCTCCCCAGTTAGGCTTCAGGAGCCACTGCAGAGCCATGCCTGTCTTGTATTTTTTTTTTTTTTGGAAACAGAGTCTTGCTCTGTCACCTAGGCTGGAGTGCAGTGACGCAATCTCTGCTCACTGCAACCTTCACCTCCCAGGTTCAAGCGATTCTTGTGCCTTAGCCTCCCAAGTAGCTAGGATTATAGGCATGCGCCACCGCGTCCAGCTAATTTTTGTATTTTTAGCGCAGAAGGGGTTTTGCCATGTTGCTCAGGCCAGTCTCAAACTCCTGGCCTCAAGCAATCTGCCCACCTTGGCCTCCCAAAGTGCTGGGATCATGCCTGTAATCCAGGCACTTTGGGAGGCCAGGGCGGGCAGATCACTTGATTTTTTTTTGAGACAGGGTCTCTCTTTGTCCCCAGCAGTGGGTGATCACAGCTCACTGTAACCTCAACCTCCCTGTCCCAAGCTATTCGCTCACCTCAGCCTCCCAAGTAGCTAAGACTACATGTGCACACCACCACACCCAGCTAATTTTTGTATTTTTTGTAGAGATGGGGTTGCGTCATGTTGCAGGCTGGTCTTGAACTCCTGGGCTCAAGCAGTCTGCCTACCTCAGCCTCCCAAAGGGCTGGGATTACAGGTGTGTGCCACCACGCCCAGCCTCATGTCTGTCTTGTTTATCACCTAGACTCAGGCCTGGGCCTGGGTCCCTCCCTAGAGTGGCCCTGGCCACAGAGTCCCTGTGTGGCTCTGGACAAGCCCCTTTCCCTCTCTGAGCTTCAGTGTGCCATTAGAATCCTGACGGGAGCAGTGGCCGGGGCTCCTTGTGGGGTCTCCCAGGCTCGGGATGCTGGGGAAGGCTGATGAGCTCACACAGTCAGGCATGTGGTAGAGCAGCGGGCACCAGCAGGCGCTTACTAAATGTTACTTCTCCTTCCCCTCCCCCCAGGGGCCTGTGGCTTAGGAAAAGCCTCACGGCCTTGAGCAAACAGTTTGCCTTCTGCAGCAAAGGTTCACCCCTGGCACCCCAGGCCCGGCCTCCACTACCTTCTCCCCAGAAGCCGGGGAGCTCAGGAAGCACGGCCGGCCATGTCAGTGGCCACCGTACACCAGGGCTTCCTCTGTGCCCTCACTTGCTTCCCAAGATAATCTTGAAGGGTAAGCATTTGGGGGCTCACTTTACAGCAGAAACTGGGTTGGCCAGGCATGGTGGCTCACGCCTGTAATCCCAGAACTTTGGGAGGCCAAGGCGGGTGGATCAACTGAGGTCAGGAGTTTGAGACCAGCCTAGCCAACATGATGAAACCCCGTCTCTACTAAAAATACAAAAAATTAACTGGGTGTGGTGGCGCATGCCTGTAGTCCCAGCTACTCGGGAGGCTGAGGTAGGAGAATCACTTGAACCCGGGAGGCGGAGGTTGCAGTGAGCCAAGATGGTGCCAGGCTGAGTGACAGAGCAAGACTCTGTCTCAAAGAAAAATAATAACAATAATAATAAAGTCAACTTAAGAATGTGAAAAAAAAAAAAAAAAAAAAGAAACAGACCATGGGTTACTGAGGCAGAAGGCTGGCACATGTGGAGGCTGCAGTTGGAGCCAGGCTGTCTGAACACAGCATTCATGGACCCAGTGCTTTGATTCTCCTCCACTCAGAGACAGGGGCCCTACCCTTGCCCTGCGCTCCCCTGCAAACCCATGCTCACTACTTCCCCTGTGAGCGTGTGTCCCTGGGGGCTGCCGTGGGTCTGGCTGGGCGGGTGGCTGCCTGGAACCTTTGGTCAAAGCCAGGCCCAAGGTTCAGCCCTGGGTCAGGCCCCTGGTGTGGACTCCTCAGAGAGAGGAGGGGGAGGGTCTGGGAGGAGGAGTTCGGGCTCCAGGAGGCTTGGAAAGGGGGGAGCTGAGGTGCCACATCTGAGCCACCGGCCAACTCCCATGGCCACGGGACATGTCAGTCGGATGCGTGAGTGCATGGGGGCTGGCGCGGTGAAGGGCGTTTAGGGGCCCGGCGTGTGTGCCCGGGTTCCAGGTGTTCCCGTGAAGGTAAACAGTCATGGCCTCCAGTCCTGCCGCCTCCCGTCCACTCTCCACACAGCCCTGAGATTTTTCTAACACTTACGTCAGCCCTCATCACTTCCCGGCTTAGAAGCTTCGAGGCTGCCCACTGCCTTAGAACAAAGCCCAGGAATCGCCCCTCGGCCTGACCCTATCCTCCCCACCCTCACCTGCCCACGCATAGCCGGTCACCCAGCCCATCCCATGCCAGGCCGGCATCCAACACCTCCCAGGCTATGGCCACGGCCCGGATCCCTGCCTGCCCCAGGCCTCCGCATCCCCCCACTCCCTGCCCTCACTCACCCTGGGGCATAGGGAGCCTTGGGCTCCGCCTTGATGGGGGGCCCGGCGCCCCCTGGGTAGGGCTTGGGGGCAGCGCCCATGCCGTTGTTGTTGTTGCAGTTCAGGGGGGCGCCGTAGCTCGGGGGTGGGAGGGGACCATGGCGCCCCGGGGAGGGTCCACCACCATGGGGGCTCAGGTGGTGGACCCCGCTGGAGCCGGGCATCGTGGGCTGCCCGTGGGAGTAGGAGGCCGAGCTGGCTGGAGCAGAGATGTCAGGGAAGCAGCTGCGGGGAAGGGGGGCTGCTCAGCTCCAGCCAGGACCCCAGACCCAGCAGGGAAGCAGCCACCCCCTCCCTGCAGGGAACTGTGGCGATTTCAGAGGAGTCAGTGGCTGGGAAGGGACGAGGAGTGGCTTTCAGAGATGGGACTATGGAAGACCCCAGTTCCGGCCCTCAGACCTCCCAGGTGACAGAAGGGAGGTGAGGAGCTAAGGGCTGGGCGGGTGCAGGCCAGGCGACGGGGCCACTCACAGGTCAGAGGCATCCTCCTTGCTGATGTATTCCTCCAGGATGCTGGTGTCTATGTTGGAGGGCTCCAGGGCACCGTTGATGTCGTGGCCTGCGGGGCAGAAGAGGTGGGCTAGGGAAGGGGCTCAGTTCCCTGCAGACCCTGGATGACAGGGCCCAGCCCTCCATCCCTGCCCAGGCTGGCCCTCCAAAACAGACGCCCCTGCTCCTTCCCATCGGGTATCCATGTGGGGTGGGCTTCCTTTCCAGGAAGCACTGATAATGTCCCCACCCTGCCACAAGGCCACCTTCAGTCTGGGAGGAGGGCAGGGGCCCAGAGCATGGGTCTGGGTACAGAGAGGCCAATCCTGCTCCTCCATGCCCCTTTCTAGCTGCGTGACAGGGAGCAAGTCCTTTCTGCTCATCTGTCAAATGGAGTCACTCTCCGTCTGTCTTCTGGGGTACTGTGAGGCACAAATGAGGTGCTTACTAAGTCGAGAGCCCCATGGGTGGTCCACTGCCCTCGATAGGGTGGCTTGAACCCAACAGGCACTGTCCTGCCTTGTCCTCCAGGGGTCAGTTCCAGAGGGCCCAGCTCCAGGCATGCGGAAGCACAAAGCCTGGCTGAGTGGGACCATATATCCTGGGGGCCCACAGGGCTGGGGGAGCCTCCTGCACCCAGGCCTGGCTGCAGGGGGAGTGGGGATCAGAATCAGGAAAGCCCCCCCCCCCACATCCTCACTGGATATGCCCATCACCCTCTGGGTCACAGGCTGGGGTACTTAGCCCCCTTTTTCCAGAGGAGGCAGAGGCCTAGAGAGAGAAGGGCTTGCCTCAGCCACCCAGCAGAGAATGATGGCTGCCAGAGCTCCACTCCTCTGCCGGCCGCACTCTCCTGGGCCCTTGGCGCTGGCCCCGGCCCCATCAAGGGGAGGAGCCCCTGGAGGAAAGGCAGCCAGAGCTCTTGGGCATCAAGAGGAAGGACAGGGGAGGTGCCGGCCTTTCGCCTCCCTGGGTCACCTTGCGGGGGGAGCCAGAGGGCAGGGTGATAAGGGGGCTGACGTGGGAGATGCGTCAACCCCGATAGTGGAGGACAGCCTCACCCACACTGCTGACCTGGGCTGGCCAGCACCACTGAGGCAGGAGGGCCCCTCCCACAGGCCGCTGGAGCCTAAGTCTGGGGTCTGCCCTCTCCTGTTGAGCTCAGACAGGCCCAGGAACAAATCCTGTCTCAGCCGCTCCCTGCTGTATGACCTTGGGCAGGTCACAAGCCCTCCCTGAGCCTCAGTCTCCTCATTCGTGCAATGGGGACATGTCCTGCTGTCGCTTCACAGTGCTGTTTTGAGTATGAAACAAGATTCGGTCTGTGAAGTGCCGGCCACACAGTGGGTGCTCAGCGGTCGCAACAGCCGTCTCACTTCCCAGCCCCAGAGCCCTAGGGTCCCCGGGAGCCCCCTGCCCAGGCCCCTCCTTGGCCCCAGCCGGCATTTCAAGAATGCTGAGCCCCGCTTAGGTGATTAATGAGCGGCTAAGCCCTCCTAGGAGTCACGCGCTGCCTGCAACAGGCCAGGGCCCTCCTGCTGACCCCCACCCCTGGCTTGCCCAGCTAGGAACAAGGGACACCCACCACGTAGCGCCAGTGGCCGTCCAGGGCAGTGCAGCCAGGGCAAGAGCAGCTTCCCAAGCTGGGCGTGGCCAGTCCTCGTGCCTAGGTTCCCGGACCCCGCCTCTGCTCAGGCCCCATTTATTGAGTCCCTACTGTGTGCCAGGCACTTTGTGAGTCTAGTACATTAATAATCACAGGAATTTCTTTTCTTTTGAGACGGAGTCTTGCTCTGTCACCTAGGCTGGAGTGAGTCGGCGCAATCTAGGCTCACTGCAACCTCCGCCTCCCAGTTCCAGGGATTCTCCTGCCTCAGCCTCCCGAGTAGCTGGGATTCCAGGCACCCGCCACCACGCCCAGCTAATTTATTGCATTTTTAGTAGAGACGGGGTTTCACCACGTTGGCCAGGCTGGTTTTGAACTCCTGACCTCGGGTATCTGCCCGCCTCAGCCTCCCAAAGTGCTGGGATTACAGGCCTAATCACAGGAGTGTCTTCTGTGCAAGGCATCGTGCAGGCTCTTCACCTGCAGCGTGTTACTCAATCCTCACAGCCAGAATGGTGACCATGACAGAGGCAGTGACGTGACCGAGGCTTATACTAAGTATCTCTCAGTGCTTCTCAACTCCTCACGGTGATGATGACAGTGACAGTGGCAGTGACAGTGGCTGTCACTTGATGTCTTCCCCTTGATGCCCAAGAGTCCTGGCTGCTTTCTTGCAGTTTTCCCTCTCTCAACCGTGGGGATGGTGATAACAACACCACTGTTCAGAGAGGTGACATGATCACCATCCCTTCTGTTCAGAGAGGTCAAGTCTCTTACCCAAGGCAACACAGCAAGGAGGATTCCAACCAGGTGCAGGGGTCTGACTCCAAGGGGGAAGGTGTGGCTGGTGGTCGCTGTGCCTTCCCCACACCACCCGGTGCATCGCCCCCACCCTGGCCGCTGAAGCTGCAAGTTTTTGAGCCTGAACTTGGAATTTACAGTGAATGATGGGCTGAGGCAGGCATGGTGTTGCTATTTATAATAGGCCCAGCCCCCTCCTCTCCTGGCCAGGAGCACTCCTAATCGCCCCTAATCCTCCTACCCACCTCCCTCAGGATAGGGGGCCTCAGGCAGAGGCATCCTGGGAGACCCTAACGAGAACCAGATGTGCTTTGGGGGAGGAGGGACCCTCCCGTGCCAGGGTCTGGGCGGCCGGAGGACGGAGGAAGGAGGTGGGAGGAGGGAGCCGATGGGGCAGTGTTAGGGAGGGCCAGTGGGTGGGGGAGAAGTTTGAGGGTTGGGGGCTCGGAGGGCCTCCTGAGGAACGCTGACCCCACACCTTCTCCTGGAAGCCCCGGAGGCTGCCTCGTCTCTTCCCCACGCCGCTCGGCCCCCAGCCCGCCCACGAACCACGCTGGAGATTTCTAACAGACATTCCAGGAGGACAAGCTGAGGGTGGGGGCTTGCCAAAGCCCAGGGATTGCTGAGGCTGAGGGCAGAGCCCCCAAGAACCCCGGACAGGGGTAGGGTCCCATGGGCACACTCTTGGGAGCACCCCTCCCTAGTGCTCCCCAAAGATCCCCAGAACATCACTGGAGCCCGACCGGGGGCACCTGCCAGGCGGAAAGCGGAACGCAGGCCACATGCTCATTCTGATCCTCAAGACCTCTCTGAGAGAAGGGAAGCCCGGCCTGCCAGAGGCTACCCAGGGCCCAGCAACCCGAACGCAGCAGCATGAGCTCACAAAGCAGCATCTCTGTCCTCGCCTCCTCTAACCCTTCGGCAGCTTCCCACTGCTTGGGAGAAATGCGGAGCCCTCTGTAGTCCAAGGCCTGGCATGGTCCCCTGCCTGCCCCCACAGCCTTCTCTCCTTCCCCAGGCCCCCTTCCTTCACTCCTCCCCCTGCTTAGCTCCTGCCTCCTTTCCATCCTTCGCCCCACGTCAGGGCCTTGGCGCATGCTGTTCGGAGCTGTTTCCTAAGGCCGAGAAAGCCGGGTCCTATTCACGCTTTAGGTTTTGGCTTAAATGTAAGTTCCCCCAAGAAGCCGTCTCTGACTCTGCCATTCTCTTTAGCAGGGGATGGAGGAGCGGCAGCGGCGCTGTGATTCCTCATCAGCTCTTTACCCTCCCACCTCCACACACCTCACCGGGCAGCATGGGTGTCTGCCGCCCACCCACCACCCACAGCTCACTCACCCCGTGGCCACTCTGTGCCCAGCCCCGTGCCACGCACTTTACATGGCTCATATTGAATTCTCATCCCAACCCTATGAGGTAGGTGATTTTCTTTTTTCTTCATTTTACAGACGAGGAAACAGAGGCTCAGAAAGGATGGGTGCGTGCCTGTAGCTTGCAGGGGCAGATGCTGGGCTATGAGGGCTGCCCTATTCTGTCTCTCTGGGATATAGTATCCCCGCACACGGCAGGCACCCAGGAAACGTTTGCGGAGTAGATGAGCCAAGTGGTCACCGAGGGACCTCGGCCAGGCCATGCTGTGGCCAGGGCCGGGGCTAGCCAGGGCCCCTCCAGGTTCCGCCCCTGCCCTGCTGAGCTGTGCACCTCAGCTGTTCCTCATTAATTAGGCCCTTTATTACCTGCCTGGAACAGGAGCCAGACACTGCCCCTTCCCAGGCAGGCTGCGATCCCAACTATAGGAAGGCAGCTCCCTCCCCTCCCTCTTCTCTCCTCCTCCCTTTAAGGCCACCCAGCTGTCCAGAAAAGGAACAGAGGGCACCCAAACCAGGTGCAGGATGAGAGCGAGCAGGGGCCCAGGTGGTCCCTCCACCCAGGACCCTCCCTTTTGCCCCTCCTCGTGCTCATGATCCCCCCCACCCACCAGCTGTGGCCTCTGGCTGAGTCTCGGCCATTGTCCCGGGGAACGGGGGAGGGTGGGGACACGGCACAGTGGGAGGCTTGTGCCCTGCCCACCCCCTCCCCTGGCCCGTCAATGGGGCACTTGTCAATTCATGCCCCAAACATGGCGGAAATCCCGTCAGCCACGTGGCTGTGGGTAGGGTGGGCTGGGGCCCGAGGATGCTGGCCAGGCCTGGTCGACCTGAACCTGGGGTACAGAGGGCACCAGGGCCCAGGCCGGTTCCCAAGGACTCCAGGTGCTCTGAGTGTCCACTTGGGGCATCTGAACCTGAGGGATGCCCTAGCTCCAGGCCGCAGCTGAGGGCCAGGGTGGTAGTGGAGACAGCCCACCTGGACATTACCATGATGCACAGAGAGATCCCCAGACTCAAAGAGGCCTGGCTTCTAATGTGAACCCCACTTCATGGCTCTGACCCTCAGCAAGTGACCTGAGCCCTGGCCTCCTCCGCCATCAGATGGAGCATGAATCCCTGCGATGGAGTGAGCCTTAAGCCAGGAGACCCCCAGGAGGCCATTCCTCAGTCAGTGTCAACCAACCTGTTTCCATCTCCCCTGGGACTCCCATCTCCTTCCTGCCCTCGAGCCTCTGCCCAGGCCTGTCCCCTCCCCCGAGGCCACTCCGGAGCCTCCGAGGGGCCTTGGCTTTCTCCTAAGTCCCTGCGACGCAAGGCCAGCACTCAGCTGCTACTCTTTTTTTTTTTGAGATGGAGTCTTGCTCTGTCACCCAGGCTGGAGTGCAGTGGCAAAATCTTGGCTCACTGCAACCTCTGCCTCCCAGGTTCAAGCAATTCTCCTGCCTCAGCCTCCCGAGTAGCTGGGATTACAGGTTTGTACCACCACATTTGGCTAATTTTTGTGTGTGGTTTTTTTTTTTTTTTTTTAGACGGAGTTTCGCTCTTGTTACCCAGGCTGGAGTGCAATGGCGCGATCTCGGCTCACCGCAACCTCCGCCTCCTAGGCTCAGGCAATTCTCCTGCCTCAGCCTCCTAAGTAGCTGGGATTACAGGCACGCGCCACCATGCCCAGCTAATGTTTTGTATTTTTAGTAGAGACGGGGTTTCACCATGTTGACCAGGATGGTCTCGATCTCTCGACCTCGTGATCCATCCGCCTCAGCCTCCCAAAGTGCTGGGATTACAGGCTTGAGCCATCGAGCCCGGCTAATTTTTGTGTTTTTTTAATAGAGATGGGGTTTCACCATGTTGGCCAGGCTGGTCTCGAACTCCTGACCTCAGGTGATCCGTCAGTCTCAGCCTCCCAAAGTGCTGGGATTACAGGTGTGAGTCACTGCACCTGACCCCTGCTGCTATTTCTTACACATGCACAGCACAGTCCGGCCTCCGAGCCTCGGCCCCAGCCATCCCTTCCAGTGGGTCGGCCTTCTGTGACTGCCTCCTGGCCTGCCCAGGCAGGCCCTCCCCTTCCCCACAGTCACAGAGGGCCCCCAGTGTTATGGCTCATCGCCCAGCCAGTTTCTATGGGGGCAAGGCACAGTGGGCCTCACCTCCTTTGGTTTGGACTTTCTGTCTTTATTAATATAATCTATAACTGCTAGCTGCCTCTGCTTCAGGTTCAACTTGTAACTAGAGCCTTCTTAGTCAAAATGCCTTCAGGTCAGATGCTTGCTTGGACAAGCAACCCTTTGCCTCTCTGCATCAAATCCTCAAAGACCTCTCTCCCTTTTCTTTTTCTTTCTTTTTTTTTTTTTTAAGGCAAAGTTTCACTCTATTGCCCAGGCTGGAGTGCAGTGGCACAATCTCAGCTCACAGCAACCTCCACCTCCTGAATTCAAGCGATTCTCCCACCTCAGCCTCCTGAGAAGCTGGGATTACAGGTGTCTGCCACCACACCTGGCTAATTGTTGTATTTTTAGTAGAGATGGGGTCATGTTGGCCAGCCTGGTCTCGAACTCCTGACCTCAGGTGATCTATCTGCCTCGGCCTTTCAAAGTGCTGGGATTACAGGTGTGAGCCACTGCACCCAATTAGAAAACCCTCTTTTCTAGGAGACCTAGAATCCCCTTTTTTTTTTTTTTTCCTGGAGATGGAGTCTTGCTCTGCCGCCAAGGCTGGAGTGCAATAGCCTGATCTCGGCTCACTGCAACCTCTGCCTCCCGGGTTCAGTGATTCTCCTGCTTCAGCCTCCCAAGTAGCCAGGATTAGAGGCACATGCCACTATAACCAGCTAATTTTTTTGTATTTTTGGTTTCACCATGTTGGCCAGGCTGGTCTTGATTTCCTGACCTCGTGATCCGCCCGCCTTGGCCTCCCAAAGTGCTGGGATTACAGGCTTGGCGAGAGCCAGAATCTACAGCCACCCTTGACTATGGCTCCATGCATGCAAGTCCCCATGAAGCTGCCACTCTGTCCTCAGGTCCACACAAGGCTGAACTCACAGCCCCAAGATGCTCCAAAGCCAGCAGCTTCGGTCCAACAGCACTGAGGCCAGTGGCTGCTACGTGTTCCTACTCTTTCCCACAGGGACCAGAGCGGGCAGGCCACGAGGTGCCACGTAGAGACCCTGCAGCTTGGGGTGGGCACAGGTCTCCACCAGGGTCACGTGTGCCCATTTGTGCCTGCGCGTCATCGTGGCCCCATGCAGGGATACTGCAACACACACACACACACGCACACACACAGACGTACATAAGGGAACACCCCACAGTCAGGTATCCACATGTGCATGATCACATACCACACACCCCCTGCTCACACATACACAGTACTAACACACAGTGGCATGCCACACACACACGCACACATGTGCACACCAGCATTCACCTGTGCCCCTTCATTCATTCGGCAGTTATTTACTGAGCACCTGTTATGTGTCAGGCAAGCATAGCGCACAGTGGTGAGCAAAAGAGACCACAGCCCTGCTGGAATGGAGGGCTGGCATTCTAGGGAGCAGAGTCAGATGACAAGAGCAGTAAAATGTCTAGCACTTTAGACGGTTCCAGATGGTGAGGACAGCCAGTGCACAAGCCCTGAGGTATGAGCATGGCCGTGCGTGTTCACATCTCTGCACTCTTCACAGGCATGTGTGCCGGGACACGTGTGTACACAAATGCTCACTGACCGACGGCAAGCCCAGGCCTACAGGCATGGCGGCGCGTGTGTGGGTTAGCTTAGCGGCCACCCAGGAAGAGCTCCCGCCTCCGCCTCTTCCCTCCAAGTCCCTCTCTACCTGCTGTCAGACCCTCCCGAAGCAGCTCGGGCTGGAGCCAGACCCCACTGGGTGAACTCAGTGTCACAGGCGCAACTCCCCACCCTAAAGGCAGCCCCCCACCTCCAAGCTAGCAGAGCAGGCGATGGGAATTTCCTTCCCCCAGCCACAGAGGGAGAAGAGAGGGGAGTGAGGGAGGCTGGAGGGACCTAGGAGAGACAGGGGCTCCACAGAGGAGACAGAGGATGTGGGGGCACTCCAGGGGCTGCAGGGACCCGGGTCAGCTGGAGGGAGAACTTCCCTCACGATGTGACCTGCGGCACAGGGAGCCCCTCCATAATCCAGGCTGGTGGGGGGGGGGGCTCCAGACCCAACTATACTCCCCACCCGAGTGCTTTGCCCCTCCCCCTCTCACTCCAGGCCTTGGCACTGGTGGAGTCTAACTGCTCAACATCACGAAACCTTGACCATGTGAGTGAGGGCTCTGAGGTCTAGAGAGGTCAAGGAGGCTGCACAGACATCATCTGGCCTGGCCACCCATGCTGGAGCCACCCCTCAGCCTGCCAGGAGGAGAGGCCCCTTCCCTGCCCACCCTAGGCTGGCACTCAGCTGGGACCCAGGCTCCCGTCCCGGCTCTGATGCGGCCACCCTGAGTTGAGCTGACACATCATTGACTTCCTCTCCTGCCCACTCCTCAGAAATAGGACATCACCCTCCCTTCCACTGCTCCCCAGGACTCCAGGAAGACAACATGCAAAGAGCTGTGGCCTGGGTGCGGCAGATGAGGCCACAATACAGTCAAGTCCCCTCCCCCTCAATGGCAGCAAGAACCTGATCCAAATCTTGGAAGGGGAGGGTGGGGCAGGCCCACTGGATGTGCCAGGGACCAGGACCAGGCATCTGGGCCACATCGGGTCAGAGCTGTCATGGTGCAAGCCCTAGCACAGAACCACAGAACATGCTCAACAAGCCCTGTAAGCTTAGGGGCAGTGATCTACCCTAGGGCGCAGGGCACGTGCCAGGGGCCGATGGCGTGTTCACCAGGCCAGGCACTATCTCACCTAATCACCGCAGAAACCCTAGGATGGAGGCCCTGCTATTACAACTGCATGCCCATTTTACAGATGAGAAAGTGGAGGCACAGCGGTGCCCTGATACAGCCAAGAGAAGGACTGTGGGTAAGCAGCAGAGCTAGGAACAGACCCTAGCTGTCCCCGCTGGCGAATGCACAAAACCGTTACATCCTCTCATCCCCAGACCCAGCCAAGAGGTACCCGCATCCCGTGGTAGCAGAGGCTGAAGGCCTAGAGATAGGAGAGGAGGCCACCACATATCCCAGCACCCAAGGCAATGAGAGAAACTGAGGGCCAGGAGGGTGCTATGTCCATGAGGAGGAAGGTGGGAAGGTAAGGCAGGCTGCCTGGGCAGGGCGGGGCCACCCGGTTAATGATTCAGTTAATAATTTCTGCTCCCAGTTCCTTATCAAGGAGGGCAAAGTCCAAGGGCAGTAGCCAATCAGCAGCCCTGCTGGGCTGTTACCCAGAAACCTCTGCTGCCAGGGCCCTCCCATCTGTAACCCCTTGGGATTGGGAAGTGGGGGGCCAGGCCCCCAAGGAAAAGGACATTTTGCCCTCAAATGCCTTCCCTGGCTCTACCTAAGACCCCAAGGAGCACTCTGTCCAGCCTTCCAGACTCAGGAGAGACCCTGAGGCCCAAGGGTGGGTAACTGCCAGCTTCTCAGCCCTGCACTGACCCCAGGCCCTCCAGAGAGGTACTTTCTGGGGTTCGTCCCCCGCCCCCGCCGCCTCTGCTCACATACCATTGTTGTCTCTGTTGACCCTGAGAACACTTCCTGCCCACTCCCCCACCCTGCCCTGCACTGGGTGCTGGGTACATGAGGATGAGTCAGACCCCCTACTACCGTTTCCTCTCCTGCCTGGGCTCAGGGCCTGGAGCAAGTCTGGCAAGCAGCTCCATGCCTTGGAGGGTGGGGCAGGAGTCCCGGCGGGGGGTGAAGGGGGGGCTCCGGGTGGGCCCAGGAGGCAGGTCCTCTCCTTGAGAGTCAGGGGTCAGGAAGCTCTGTTCCTGGCCACTTGTCCCATCTACCTACTCCCTCAGTGCTCCAGGGACAGATAGAGACGGACAGGCTGACATGGCCACAGTGCCGCCCCCATCACACGGCACAGCCCAGCTCCAGATTCCTGGCCAGGTGGGTTCCTCTCTTCCAAATCCTCAGGTACTCTCTCCCTGGGACCTTGTCCTGAGGCAGAGATGCTGGCCCCTGACAGGTAGTCCCCCACCCCAAGGCTCTGGTGGCAGAGCAGGCAGCTGGGGACTAAGTGTCCACTCTGGCTAACTCCGGCCAACTCCCTTCTCTCTGAGCCTCAGCCAGCGCCATTCCCCTCCCCTCACCCATCCCACAGCTGGGAAGGGTGGCTTTCAAACCAGTATCCTGGCTCTCCGGAGGCTGTGGTGAGCCCAGCCCTGCTTATCCACTGTACCTGTCCTGTCAGGAGACCATGAGTTTGTTCAATGGCTACAAAATCACACTGGAAGCCGCTGCTCTGGTCCAACCCACTGACTTACCCTGGGAGGGGAATGAGGCCAGAGAAGGAAGTCACCAGTCCAGGCTACCCATCAGGTTCAGAAGGGCTGAAATCCCAGGCCTCCCTCCTCCAGCCCTGGTGGGCTCCAGAGGCCAGGCAGAGGCCCATTAAACTCCAAGCGGTCTTTCCAGCACCTTCCGGAAGGCGACTTTCCTCCATCCTTCAAGGCTCCCTGCACAACGCTTGCTTTCTCGGGGGCACTGGCTGCTCACTCAAGCCTCATGTGCCCCTAGAGTCTGGGGCCAGCAGCTGCCCTCGTGCCATTCATACTCTAAAATGTCCCTGGTTTCCAGGGCTGGGACATGAGGTTCTTCAGAGCTGAGAAAACTTTCTTTGCCACCCTCTCCTGTCTTGCAGCTGAAGAAAAAAGGACCTAGAGAGGGTAAGAGCTCTCTGGGGGTTCCTTGGAGGGCACAGATGGTCACCCCACTCTCAGTGGCCCAGCCTGCCCCGGAACTCTCAGGTTCTGGCCGAATTCTGAGACACTGCCCGTCCCATGCCTGCCCTGGCTCTGGGAGTCCAAGGCCCCAGCCCACGAGTGGATGAGGAGCACACCTGACCCTGGGACCCGGTTTACCTGCTGGGAGCCAGTGCATCCTGCCAGGCGGGTCCCCTCTCTGCAGGCCCTGTGCCCGCCGATCTGGGCTGCCTGGCCTCTCTCTAGGGGATTAGCCAGGCGGTCACGGGGGCCCGGCTGTACCAGCCTCGAGGGGGCCGCCCTGTCCCGGCCTCCCACCCGAGGCCCAAAGCGCCTTAGCCCCCAGCCCACCACTGGCACAGGGCAGGACCCAGCACCTATGCTGGGCGTGCCCAGGGAGGGGCACCGTGTCAGGTGAGGGGGCTCGCTGTGCTCCTGCCCCTTCAATAAAACCCTCTGCCAGTCTCCCAGCCCAGAGCCAAGAGCACAGGGTCCGAGACCCACTGTCCTGAGTGATGATGGAGGCCAACTGCGGACCAGGATGAGAGCTCAGGTGTCCCCAGTCCTGGCCCCAAGTGTGAGCGCACACACGGCTCTCGTGAGCTCAGGAGTGACGCAGCCACCACTCAAAAGCACAGCTTCCGCTCCCTCCACTTCGCACTCACACGCACACGCACACCAGGCCCCGCCACCTCCAGGCCCTCCCTCACACCTACAGGGGGTCCCCCACAGGGGCCTCCCCATCTCAAGTGGCCCAGAGCCCTCAGCACCCACCCACACCTTCCCCCACCGCAGGGGCTGGGAGCCATTTCCAGCCCAGCCCTCCTAGGCGGGCAGCCTCACTCCCTCCCTGCTCCCCACAGACATTCTTGAGTCTCCTCTTATCTCTCTGGAGGGAGCAGCACAGCCTTCCCCCACCAGGCCGCTGCATGGCTAAGCCGTGGCGTCAGCCCCCACCCCTCCACCCATGGCCAGGAGGGAGCCAGGGAGTCCAGGCCAGCCAGGCCCACCCCTCTGCTCTCTGTCGGGGCCCAGGGTTCTGGGGGAGGCAGTGCAGAAGTCAAGGAGCCTGGCTTATGGGTCCTCTAGGTACCTAGCAGGCTCAAGGCACCACAAACAGTAACCCAGGCAAGCACTAACGTCTTGTTCCCTCTTCCCTGAAGGCCTCAAACCTTGCCAGGCCCCTCAAGAGCTCCTAAGGATCAACCATTGTCTGGGGAGAGACAGATGCCGGGTGACCTAAGACCTTCAGATGACCCAAGACCTTCAGATGACCCAGCCAACTCAGGGGTCAACCATTCAATCTAGTCCAAGCCTGAATTCTTGGGGTCTGGGTCTGCAGGGTGTCCAGAACCCTGGAGTGGGACGACTGAGGCTTGGGGGTGCCCCTGCATGGGCTGCTAAGCCAGGAGGCGTGAAGAAGGGTTCCTACCTCCCAAGTCACAGAGGGAGAGAAACTGAGGCACAGAAAGACCTGCTTCTGGCCAGGCGCGATGGCTCACACCTGTAATCCCAGCACTTTGGGAGGCCGAGGCAGGCAGATCACAAGATCAAGGGATCGAGACCATCCTGGTCAACATGGTGAAACTGCATCCCTACTAAAAATACAAAAATGAGCTGGGCGTGTGAGCCTGTAGTCCCAGCTACTTGGGAGGCTGAGGCAGGAGAGTCGCTTGAATCCTGGAGGTGGAAGTTGCAGTGAGCCGAGATCACGCCACTGCACTCCAGTTTGGGCGACAGAGCGAGACTCCATCTCAAAAAAAAAAAAAAAAAAAAAAAAAAAAAAAAAAGACCTGCTTCTCTCCTCCACAGGACTCCATAGGAATCTGGGGCTTGGAATTTGGACCCTAGTTCCCTGCCCTGAAGCCCTGATAGGGTCACACACGAAAGGAAGGTTCTCAGTGCACCAAAGAGCAGGATGTGGCCTTAGGGACCGGGGACAGGGGGAGGTCAGGCCAGGGGCTGGGCCCTTACATTGGTAGACAGGGGCACAAAAGAGGGCCAGAGGGTCTGGCTAGATGTTCCAGAGATGTTCTGAGAAGCAGAGTGGGCTGGGAGGTGTCAGCCTGCACCTCCCCTCCCCCTCCCACAGCCATCCCATCTCTCCAGAATGCCGCTCCAGGAGGAGTGGCAGCCCTGCAGGAGAGGCAGGGGCTGCCCAGGAAAAGAGGGGGGGTTGGTTAGATGTAGGAGGAGACCTCCAAAACCAATGTAGGGGTGGGGGCAGGAGAAGCTATTATGAGGTGTATGTCAATTCCACCCCAGGGGGAGGGTTCTTCAGGGTCAAAGGGGGGTGAGGTCACTCTTTGAGGGGGCGAGGTCAGAGAGGCACAGCTCTAGGGCTGGGGACATAGTGCTGAGCAGCCTCAGAGGGCTGGAGGAATGCAATTCACAGCACCGGAAGGGTCTGGGAGAGCAGAGGTGGCTGGTGGTGGGGATGTCAGCTTCAAGAAGGTTCCAGTCCTAGGAGAGCATGTGGGGGGGTGTGGGGGACGCGGGGGAGCCCAGCCCCAAACAGGAGAGGAGTCACTAGGAGCAGCATGGTGGAAAGCAGGTGGCAATGTCAAGTGGCAGTGTCCTAAGGGGTCCGGGTCTCCAAGGTGGTCCTACCCTCATGGAAGCACAGTGGGGCCATCCCAGCTCCTGGAAGTCAGGGGGAATGGTGCCAACCTGAAGGGCTCACTGGGGTCTTGGACTCTAGGCGGGGGTCCCAGATTCTGGGAAGCAGGCTGGGGTGTCAGCCTCAAGAAGTATAGAAGGTCCTAGAAGGCACACTGGGGGCCTGGGCCTTGAAGTGGGTGCTTGGGGTTCTGGGGTTCAGGTGAAGCACCGTAGAGGGTCCCCAGACTCGGGAAGTGCGCTGTGGGCGGGAGTGTGGCAATTTAGGGAAAGCTCCAGGTCTTGGAAGGCTCAAAGGAGGTCCGGACCTGGAAGGGGTCACAGCCCCAAGGGAGCTGCGAGTTGAGGAGCAGGGAAGGGGAGCCCAACTCCAGCGGCGGTGGGTGGTAGCCCCCGGGAGTCTGTCTCGGCAGGCTGGTGCCAGCCTGGAGGAGGGTCCCAGCCAGATGAGGCGGAAGAAACACAGTGTGGGACCCCAACCCCCGGGGAGATCGGCCGGGGGTTCCCAGAGCCGGAGTGTCGCCTCCGCCAGCCCGCGGTCTCTCACCTTCGAAGAAGCGCTGCAGCGCCTCCGTCTCGTCCACCACCTCCATGTCCCGCCTGCCCGGCGCGCACTCCGGCCGCGGCCCCGCTACAGCCCGGCCCGGGGGCGCGGCATCGCCGGCGCGGCCCGCGCGACAGTCCCGGCTGGGCTCCTGCTGCGATCCCGCCGGGTCCGCCGCCGCGCTCGCCCCCCGCGCGGCCCTGGCCCGGCCCCTGCCCGCCCCACGCGCCCCACGCGCTCCGCCCGCCGGGTCCAGCGCCCCCTGCCGGTCCGCGCTGCGCCGGGCCCCGCCGCGGGCACCACGCTCCGGGCTCCTGCAGGCGGCGCTTGGCGCAGGGCCGTCCAGGGTCGGGGGGCGCCGGACCGTCCCAGGCTTGCGGGACGCGGAACCTTCCCGGATCGGGGGACGCGGGGCCGTCCAAGGTTTACGCGGCCCGGAGTCGTCTCAAGCCGGGGGAGCGGGGCCATCCCAGGTTTGCGGGGCGCGGGGCCTTCCCGGGTCGGGGGGGTCGGGGGGCAAGGGCTACCTGGCCTCTGTGGGGTCCGGACGGGAAGGGCCTGTCCCCGCCATCCTCGCCTTCGCCTTGGACAGGGCGAGACGTCAGGATTCCGAATCCAAACCTCAGAGGCAGCCCACATCCCTCTCGTTACCTACCACCCCAGCTCAGCAACAATAACGGCCTGCGTTTAGGGAAACGTGTGTTCTGTGCCGGGCCACACAGGCGTTATGTCACGCAGTCCTCACAGGTACCCTAGCAAGGAGATACTGCTGTTACCTGCATTTTACAGTTGGGAAGACTGGGGCTCAATGCATTAAGGACTGCCAGGAAGTCCTATCCTGTGGCTGTGATGACGGAAACGTTCCCTGTGTTGTCCAATATGGTCACTAGCCACAAGTGAGCACTGGAAATGTGCCTATTGAGACTGAGGAACTGATTTTTTTCCATTTTGTTTAATTGTAATTAGTTTCAACGGTCACTTGTGGCTGTGGTATTGGACAATACAGGCCTGAGAGCTTCTCTTCTTTTTGAGATGGAGTTTCACTCAGTTGCCCAGGCTGGAGTGCAATGGCACGATGTCAGCTCACCGCAACCTCTTCCTCGTGGGGTCAAGCGATTCTCCTGCCTCAGCCTCCTGAGTAGCTGGGATTACAGGGCCCCGACACCATGCCCAGCTAATTTTTGTATTTTTAATAGAGTCGGGGTTTCATCATGTTAGCCAGGCTGGTCTCGAACTCTTGATCTTAGGTGATCCACCTGCTTCAGCCTTCCTAAGTGCTGGGATTACAGGCATGAGCCACCATGCCCGGCCGTGGCCAAGAGTTTCAAGGTCATTCAAGTTCAGAGCCAAATCCTGGCTGCCCCGGGAATCTGAGCCCTCCTTCACTGTGGCGCTGTCTGGTAGAATGAAACCTGGAGGTTCTAACTTGAAATATGTCCCAGATAAAGCCATTGTCCTTGTGCCCCTGCCTTCACCCTTATGACTGTCTCCGCATCTCCATCCTGCCCAACTGCACAGCCTTTCTTCTCACTGATTTCCCCTACAATCCTCCAAATCACCCTTTCTGAAACATACATCTGATCATGTCACGCCTTTGTAAAACCAAGTTTCCCTTTACACTCAAAACAACATCTGGCTGGGCACAGTGGCTCACGCCTGAGCCACCTGAGGTCGAGAGTTCAAGACCAGCCTGACCAACATGGAGAAACCCAGTCTCTACTAAAAATTCAAAAATTACTCGGGTGTGGTGGCTCGTGACTGTAATCCCAGCTACTCGGGAGGCTGAGGCAAGAGAGTCACTTGAACCTGGGAGGCAGAGGTTGTGGTGAGACGAGATCATGCCACTGCACTCCAGCCTAGGCAACAAGAGCAAAACTCTGTCTCAAAAAAATAATAATAATATTAACAAAACGAACAAACAAAAAACAAACAACATCTGAATGTCTTGCTCTGGTTTCTCAGGCCTCGCCTCTACCACTGACCTTAGCTCTTACCCTTTCTCCATTGCTCACTGAATAACGGCCACCAAGGTCTCCTTGCCATTGCTGAAACATGCCACGTCCATACCTGCCACAGGCCCTTGGCACATGCCATTCCATCTGTTTACAAAGCTTGTCTCTACATGGCTAGTCCTTCTCAGCAGTTGGTCTCAGCTCAAATGTCATATCCCCAACCACCCTACCTAAAGCACTTCTCCCTACCTAGGCCTTTCTTTCTCATCATGTAAAAGATTCTTAGTTTCTGTTATTATCATTCTTGCCCTTGAATGGAAGCCCTATGAGGGCAAGAGATTTTTCTGGGTCAGTCACTGCTATAGCTTCAACACCAAGAACACTACCTGGCTGGCACACAGTAGGTTCTCAATAAATGTGTATTGAATGAATAGATGATGGCATCTTCAAACTACCAAATCCCGTCAGGCTCCAGTGGCTCACACCTGTAATCCCAGCACTTTGGGAGGTTGAGGCAGGAGGATCACTTGAGGCCAGGAGTTTAAGATCAGCCTGGGCAACATGGCAAGACCGTGTCTCTACAAAACATAAAAAAAGTTAACTAGGCACGGTGCCACATGCCTCCACAGGCACTGCGCCTAGTTAACTTTTTACGTTTTTTGTAGAGACAAAAATAAAAAATAAAATAAAATTTTTTGTAGAGACCAGGAGGCTGAGGCAGGAGGATTGCTTGAGCCCAGGAGGTTGAGGCTGCAGTGAGCCATGTTCATACCACTGCACTCCAGCCCGGGTGACAGAGCAAAACACAAACACAAAACAAAACAAACAAACAAAAACCTACAGAATCCCTGACCTCTGAAACCTTGGGAGCAGACAGTTCTGGAATCTCAGACCTAGAGAATTATCGCACTTCAGAGTGGTTCAATTTGAAGCCTCTCACGACCCTTCAAGGCAGCAAGTAAAAGCTGGAAAAACCTATCCCACCCAATCACTATTTGACAAGCCACCAAACAGAGGCCAGAGGTGTGGGGGACTACTGCCCGATCAAGATGCCAGCCGGGCCAGCCTCCAACTCTCACCTCTGCCTCGCAGCATCCCCGGGAAGGGCGGGACGCCAGCAAGGCTGCGCGTGGGGATGGGGTGAGAGTCTGGAAGCTGCTCCCACCCCAGCCTCCCTGTCAGTCCTCACTGGCCAGCCGTGGGAGAGGGGCAGCCAGGGCCTGAGCCCCAGATGTGGCCCAGTCAGCAGGCCCGTGGTGGCCTGCTGAGGAGGGTCAATGCCACAACAGTTCTGGGGTTGGGGGAGGGGTGCTGAGGCCGGCGGGCGCCTCACAATGAGGTTTTGTCCCTCTGGGGGCCACTCTCGGAGCTGTTGCTCTTAGATATATAGAATGGGATTTTGCTGGAGGCCCCAGCTGTGTGTGCTGACCGCAGCTCCCCCACCACCCCCGCAGGGGCTGGGCTGAGAGGGGGGAGAGGGGCCACACTGAGACGCCTATTCTTTTCCAGCTGATACACCCCAGAGGTTTTTCTCCCTCCGCAGACTCCCTTAAGACAATTGTTATTCTCCACCCCGCCTCTCCTCCACCCGGGGTCAGGCCTGCCTGTGGACAAAGTAGATACCCGCCTACACCATACGATTCTCAAAAATGGATTTATGTTGGTCAGGCGGGGTAGCTCATGCCTGTAATCCCAGCACTTTGGGAGGCCAAGGTGGGCAGATCACCTGAGGTCAAGAGTTTGAGACCAGCCTGACCAACATGGAGAAACCCCCGTCTCTGCTAAAAATAGAAAATTAGCTGGGCGCGATGGCTCACACCTGTAATCCCAGCATTTTGGGACGCAGAGGGGGGATTTTGAGACCAGCCTGATCAACATGGCAAAACCCTGTCTCTACTAAAAATACAAAAACTAGCCAGGCATGGTGGCCCGTGCCTGTATTCCCAGCCAGTTGGGAGGCTGAGGCAGGAGAATCGCTCGAACCTGGGAGGCAGAGATTGCAGTAAGCTGAGATCGCACCACTGCACTCTAGCGTGAGCAACAGAGACTCCATCTCAAAAAAAAAAAAAAAAAAAAAAATTAGCCCGACAGTGGTGGCACATGCCTGTAATCCCAGCTAATAGGGAGGCTGAGGGAGGAGAATGGCTTGAAACCAGGAGTTGGAGGTTGTAGTGAGCTGAGATCATGCCATTGCACTCCAGTCTGGCCAAAAAGAGCAAAACTCCGCCTCAAAACAAAACAACAACAAAAAAAGAATTTACATTATGAGTTGCCTGGGTCCAGCCGCAGAGCAGCTTCTCTATAAGCCTCCACGCACCCACGGATCTTTCCTCCATATCCCGAGTGCTGCGTAACTGACCACCATCTAAGGTCTCACCACCATCGGCTGAGCTGCCCAGTGTCTGTGTCCTGGTCAGCAAGGGCTGCAGGTAGGAGGGAAGACTCGTATTTTGTCCCTAACACCTCAACTCCATCGCATTATAATCCATTAAGATTATAGGTGGTTCAGTCTCTGGAGTAGCCTTGAAGTTGGACAGGGCGGAATGGAGCCTCCTGTTAATCCCATACGAGCTGCCCCGGCTCAGGAAGCGCAGGCCCTGCCATCTCCCTGTTCCACTAGGTCACTAAGCACAGCAGCAGCTGTCCCCAGGGATTTTTATCTCTGGACTGGAGGAAAGAGGTGGCTGAAATGTCCTAGACTCAAAGACTCAGCCAGGAGTCAAGGCTGCCACCTGTCAACTCCATAATGAAGTTGGGGCCCAAGCTGCCGAGGCTGAGGCTGGGGCAAGAAGGTGGCTAGGTTGGTGAGCAGGCCCCAGGGGACTGGCACACCAGGACCAAGGGGACCCGTCGATGGAGATGATTCCCCATCTGTGCCCCGGCTTCCCTACTGAGCCACAGTGAGTGAGGGGCTGAGATTTCAGCCCTACTTTAGATGACAAGACTGTCTCCTGTGGCCAGCTCTGCCTGTTTCCCAAGGCCTGCCCTCTGTCCTCAGACACTTCATCTATAAAGCACGCTCAGTATTCCTGCCTCACAGCAGAGGTAAAGTGCTGGGTAATGGCTGCCCTCTCCAGTTCTGGTCAGCTCTCAGCACCCATCACTGCCCTTGAGTGGCCGCAGGGCCAGGAAGAAGTGACAGACAGAAGGCAGCGCTGGGGAGAGGGGTGCTGGGACCTGACGGCTCATGGCTAATGGGCATGGAGGCCAGCCTAGGAGAAGGTAGAGCCCTGTCCTCCCA